TTATTCTTAAGTACTTTAGTCTGTTTCATGGTATTGTGGATGGAATTGTTTTATAAGTGGAGTACAGAAAGGTGACTAATTCGTTATTTCTAAATGCTTATGATTTTTCACTTTCCTTGTTCTTCTCTTACTGACTCCTTTTGTATTTCATCATTCTTTGTAGTGCTATGCTCTGACTCTCATTTGATTTTTGTCCCTGTTCTATATGAGGTGGTTGAATGAGAATGTACCCATAAGGCTCATATATTTGAATGTGGTTCCCAGTTGGTAGATTGTTTGGGAAGGATTAGGAGGTGTGGCCTTATTGAAGGAGGTGTTATCACTGGAGGTTTCCAAAGTCCACACCAAGCCCACAATGGAAATGGACTCACTCACTGAAGCTGTAAGTAATCCCCAACTAAATGTTTTCTTTTATATGATGCCTCAGTCATGGTATCTGTCATAGTTAAGGTTATATTGCTGTGAAGAGACACCATGACCACAGCAACTCTTAAAAAAGAAAACATTGGGGATGCCTACAGTTCAGAGGTTTGGTCCCTTAGTGTCATGGCAGGAAGCATGGTGGCATACATGGTGCTAGAGAGGCAGCTGAGAGTTTTACATCTGGACCCGCAGGCAGCAGGAAGTAACAGTGACACCCTGGCCAAGCTTGAGCTTCTTTCTGAGACCTTAAAGCCCACACCCTAGTGACACACCTTCTCCAACAAAGCTGCACCAACTCCACTAAGACCACACCTCCTAAGAGTGCCACTCCCTAGGGGCCTATGGGGGCATTTTTTATTCAAAGCACTACAGTGTCTCTTGACAGCAGCAGAACAATGAATAAGACACTATATGATCTAGCTTCGTTGTTACCATTGCAGTTATATAATAAAGCTTCTTGTATGAATCATTAAAATGACTGTTTTTAAATTTAAAGTGTGTGTGTACACATGTGGAGGTCAGAGAACAACTTGTAAGAGTTGATTCCCTCCTTTTGCCACATAGGTTCCAGCATCCATCGTAGACTCAGGCTTGGTGGCAGGTGCCTTTGCCCACTGAGCCTTCTTGTCAATTCCTGTACAAAGCTTCTTAAACATGTATAATTTTATTTTGAACTAGCACTGGCTTAATTTCAACCTCATAAACCCCATTATGTTGCAATTTTACTCACCCAAGACTTTGCTACTGATGTTACATTTGGCATTTTAAAGTATTATATATACATTGTCATACAATTGTACCTGCTTTTTTGTATGTGTTTGTCGCGTAAAATCTGTGTATCATCATTAGAGAAGCCTGTGTTGCTGTGTGTGCTGAAAACTTGGTAAGCCTGTGTTTTACTCCTTACTGTCCCTTCTCTCTGACCTGAAGACCTCTGGGTTGTCTCTTGTGCAGCCCATCCAGTGCTAATACGCTCTTTTGACCTTTGAATATTTTTGGTTGGAATGAATTTTTCACCACTTTGAAGATGTCATCTGTATGAGCCCATTTGCTGCACTTGTCGTGATGTAACTGAGACCAGAATATCTATTTAAAAAGTGGCATGCCTTTTTTCCATTTTGTATTAGACGATATTAAGCATACAGCGTAATTTTCTTTGTGACATGCCCTGCATGCGTGTACCGTATCTGCATGATTCCCTAACACGTTGTCACCTTCAGCAGTTTCCCCTCTTTTTCTCCTGTCCTTGTTCTTCCTCACAAACATTCCATCTTCCGCTTCCATGGAAAGAAGTTTGTTCCACTCTCAGTTTTAAAACGTACCAAGTTCCCTTGCCCCCCCCCACGAAATTTCGTTTTCACTATTGCAATTTTTCATTCCCCAACTCTGTTTGGTCCTATTTACAGCTTCTGCAGCCTTGTTGGCAGGTGATCTTGCTTGTGTGTCACCTTCCTGTGTTCCTAAAGCTGCTTATCTGTGGTGTCCATCAGCTCATTAGTTCCTAGTAGTTGACTAAACATCTTTAGGATGTTTTTTTTTAATTCTTACTGAAGCAGCCCATACATTGTGATGCTTTAATCTATGAAGTATTCCTTCCTTTCTCTGACTTGGCCATCTTTCCCTGTTTTTGTTTTGTTCATTTGCCTGTTTGTTTTTGTATCTGTGTAAATTTTTCTATGATTTTGACATTTGAAATTTCACTCACGTCTCTTAGTCTTTTTTAAATTACTAAATTATTTTTATTTTAACTTATGTGTGTGGGCATTTGCCTGCATGTATATCACCATGTGAACACTTGGTGGCCAGAGAATCTAGAAGAGAGTATCAGGACCCTTGGGACTGGAGTTACAGACAGTTGTGAGCTGACTGGTCGATGCTGGGAATCAAACCTGGGACCCCTGGAAGAGCAGCCAGAGCTCCTAACCAATAGGCCACCTCTCCAGCCCCTCCTTTTATCACTGTTGTTCATGCAGTCTCTTTTTAATTTCTCTGCATTCAAGAGTAATGTTTATTTTTCACTCTATTTTTCTACAATTCTTACTTCCACTATAAAAGCAAAAGAGTTCAATATCAAAGCAAGCTACCGCTGGGAAGCTTGTCCTTGTTAATCCTTGAGATTTTCAATACTACTTAAACTATAGCCACTTTAAATCTCGGTATCAGGAGTTTGGAGTGACAGGCTCAGCAGATAAGAATGAAGTAGCAAGCCATGTGTGGTCCCTGGAACACCTGTAACCCCAGCACCTAGAGGGAGGGAGATAGGAGGGCCACTGGAGCATAATGGTTTCCAGACTATCTGGAAAGACAAAGAAAAATCAATGCAAGGTCCAGAAAAAACCCTGCCTCAAAGGAACAAGGAGGAAAGAATATCCCACACTCTTCTCTGGCCTCGGCATGCACACAAGTGTGTGCATACTCAAACAACACATGCACACACACACACACACACACACCACAAACATATACTGTATTCACACACATGCATAAATACATATACTTACATGGATTAAGAAAAAACAGTAAAATCCAGGATCACGTACAACCATTCACCATCTGAATTCTTTAGATTTCATTGTGCTCTGTCTTGCACACAAATGCACATCTGCTTACCCTCCTTATATTTTAAAGTAACAAGATCAATATAAGCCTGAAATCTGACATTTTGCAATGAAACTGTCATTTGGGCAATTAGTGGCCAGATGACTTCGGCAGCCAGATGCATTTCGGCAGGTGTGAATTCTTTTTATCTCTACAATGATGGCTACATAACAAAACATTTGCTGTAAAAATAACTGTGCGGTAGCTGGTGTGGCTCCTGTCACTCCATCACAGGAAAAGTGGTCTCTCAGCTGCATGGAGCACACAGACCAGTGATGGTGTGTTTGGTTGTTATTTTTACTTTCTTTACGCTTTGTGGCTTAGAGGCCTTTGGAAGCACCTGCTGATGAAAATCTCTGTCCTCAGTTCTCTTGCTCTTAATGAGGCCATTGTAGAGCCTCAGAGTCAGGCTTCAGAACTTGTTAAATTTCAGTGTTGGGCCCGAAGAAATGGTTAGACAGTCAACAGCACTCATGGCCTCCCAGAAGAATGAGTTCCTTTCCTATCGTACAAGGAAGCTCCCAGCCACAGAACACCAACACACATAAGATAATAAAGTAAGAAAAAGAAAAACCTTCAATGTCCTCAGAGATTCACTTTCACCTAAATGTAGCTTCCGACTTCTCTTTACTGTGTTGGTTGACCTAATATATCCCCACAGTCACTGACCGCAGGGTTGATTGCTTAAGCATGGTCCATGACCCACCTCAAATACTTGGAGTTTTCTTCACACGTTTACCACTGAAGGATAATGCTATCTGGGAAAGGGAGGGGAAGGTTCTGGGATGGAAAACTGAATTATTGATAAACTTGTAGATGGTTCTTATATAAACTAAAGACTGAGGACCTAATGCATATGAAATTTATCTATATACTAAAGGCTCAACTTTGGTTAAAATCAGTACTCTTGTCTACCAGAGGATATGGAAATCTGGGCAAAAAGAAAAAAAAAGGTAGAATCACTCAAGATGAACAACTCAGGAGAATCTTGTACACTTATTGAAATTTTAGGTTTCAGTGAAGCACGAGGCAGAACCCTGTGCCTGGCGTTGAGTGGAATAACTGTCATCAAACAATGACAGCTGATGAAGTTCCACTGAGTCACGACGTGTGCTGTGAGACCCTCACACAGGCTTCCCCTCACTTTGCAATCATCAGTGAGGAATGAGGGTGTGACCCCAGGCTGTGAACGAATCTCCTGTCTACCAGAATTCACAGCCAGCAGACCGCTGCCGCTGTAGCCGTAATTGTGAGCACCTGGTACAATTCCAGTCTGACCACAGAAAGTGACTTTAAGGAAATCCTTGCTTCTCTTCTTCTTTTTCACTTGTGATATGAGAAGGTCTGACTTGGTGGCATGTGCAGTCCTGCTCTAAGGCTCTGGGTCTGGAAATCCTTGGAGGAGCTAACACGTCCTGTAGACCTAACTCCTCACTCTGGACAACCCTGAGCAGCGCCTGCCGCTTCCCATCCCTGCGCTTCCGACCGTGTCAGCCGTGAGTTTTACCACACTCGTGTCTGCATTTTCACATTTCACAGCATGGATGTTTCAGGAGGATTTTAGAGCTTCAACAGGTGTCAAATAGCACCCTGGACGTTTATGTGCTAATCCTCAATGTCAAAACATAACATAAAATGCCATACATCTGAATCCCTGGGAGTTCAGGGTTAAGGTAACTTTGAATTCAAGATGAATATGTCATTGGAGCCCTGAAAGGATAACTCGTAACGGATGGTTAGAAGAACAAGAACAAGAAAAATCTTCCCAAAATTTGTCTAAAAAACAAACTCTGTGTTCTGTATATTGCACATTCTTTCTTTAAAAATAAATAGATAAAATGTAAGCTGTGTGAGCAGGACAGACACCAAGGTCAGTAACTATGGAGAAACCCTCAGCTACCAGTGTAGGTGGGTGTGGACTCATAGCAGAGCGCTCACAGCGGACTTCCTTTTTCGCTCATTTCACCTCACAGAATTTGGAGTTTGTCCTGTCCACAAGTTCATTGTCAAGTCCCTCCATCTACAATGGACGCTTCCGTGGTCTATGCTGACTTAAACCTAGCCAGGACCCGAGAGCCTAAGCATGCATCGCCTCCATCTCTTCCTCCAGGTAAGCAGCTTTACTGCTCCTCTGACTTCTAAGTTATCTTCCAGATTCTCCTCTGAAACGTACGGGTTTAAGTCCTTGCTCTGAAGGTGAGAAGAGGCCTATGTTAGCGTCCAACAGTGTAGGCAGTCTGCCTGCAGAAAACCACAATTCTGGAAAGGTCATACATTCCATTTTTATTCGAGTAGACAGCAGGAGACCTGAGTATCACTTCCCCTATTCAGCCTTCGTTAAAAACCCAAAGAAAGAAAGAATGTTTTACTTACATGAGCAAAGGCGTGTTTCAAGGGGTGATTGATGCAATCAGTTGCCAACTCCAGATTCATCTACAGAATGTGGACACTATGACCCAGCTGTCCGTACTTCAGCAGCAACCCCAGCTGTTCCTTTCCCCGTGCAGAGGGTGGATGTCATGGTTAATGTCTTCATCTCCCAAAAAGGAGGGTGATCTTCAGGGAAAAGTCACAGTCGAAATCAAAGGCTCGAATTAAATTAAAAGCTGGTGACATATATGTATGTATGTATATACATATATGTATGTATGTAAATATGTGTGTATAAGTTTATTTAACTTTTTAAAAAGCTGGTTCTTTCTATCTTGCAAAGTATAACAACTTTAAATGGATGAACCACACAAAGTACCAAAGCCAGTCGGGAATTAACCTTTCAACAGTGGGTGAAAGTAGCACTCTTGTCTACCAGAGGGTTTAGTAATACAAGCCAAAGAAATCGGGAAGACCGGTAACAAGAAGCACCTGACCTGGGGGGATGGCAGAGATGTAAGAGACCAGAAGCTCCGATAGAAAGTCTCTAAAGTAATTATGATACAGTATTCCATTCTGCCGTCTAACTGAACGTTCCGACATCCGTCTTAAAGCAGCTGTTTTTCAATTTGATGTCCTCTATGTGTTGTGACATGTAGACTTTGAACTTTAGGGCTTCTTGTTAAAAACTACTACATCCTCAAAAATTTGAGTCACGAAGCAAGTCTCTGAGTCACCAAACAATTTTCATTATAATGTTTACACAAGGGCAAGTGGAAAGTAGAGGGAGAACTGGTTTGATAAGCACAGGGGGACTTGCTGGCACCAGTTTTGTTTGGTTTGTTTTTGTTTTGTTTCGTTTTTGAAAAAGCAAATCTTTGTTTTCCCATCATGTCTAGCAAAAGTGAAGAAAGGGCCTTGTTGAAAAGGGTGTAAGAAAATAAATATAGAAGAAGACAATGAAGCCCTCCTCAAACTGTACTATAAGACTAGAAAAAAGTGTCTAGAAAGTAAAAAATAAAGAATACTAGAAAAAAATCATGATTTTAAACTTCAATAATCTGGAAAAATGTGAAGAATAAACAAATAGTAGTAGAATAGAAAATGCTGACGCAGATGCATGGTAACTGTGAAACCACTGGAACCTGCTAGCTATAGGGCTCAAACCATGGTGAATTCAAAGCACCATGATTAGATCTGCCAGCAAAGAGAGCCGGAAAGGGGGACGTGGGCAGTGACCTATTTTATCTGTGGTCAAATGGCCAAAGGTCTATTTTGATGGTACAATGGATAAGACATGTAAAAATGCCTCTGGAGTTTATTCATTCACTTAGAAATAACTAATTACTAGGAGACATACATTGCTCTATCCACTGGGGAGACAGCCATGAAGAAACAGGAAAACATTTTTCTTCCTGTAGATTTCATGTTACTGTAAAGTTTTAAATCAGTGGTATAAACACCTGCATCAGAGGCTGTGTGATGTTGAATGCCAACAAGAGAACATTTAAATGGAAATTAAGATTTTTGCCTTTAGAGATGGTATCATGTAAAGCAGAGTGATCTAGGCAGGCCTTCCTGTGAGATGATGCTGGAGTCAAGTCCTGGAAGTCTCGGGGATCAAGGCTGAGTATCTGAGAGATGAGTCTTCTAGGAAGCTGGACCAGCAAATGCAAAGGGAGAACGTGTCTGTGATGTCGTAAGGGAACATGCATGCCTGGTGTGGTGTGGAGATCAAGCCAGAAGGAATGGTGACAGGTGGAAAGGGATTTGGAAGACATTCTGTAGGTTCAGATGTTGAAGGGGAAGCCACTGAAATGTCTGGAATGGCAAAGATGACATCATTCTGTGGAGTCTCCTCTGGCACCTATTCCTGCCTCCTACACAGTAACAGTGGTGGTCCACTGGCCACATCCTTAAACCTAACACACTGACTACTTCCTTCCGTGACAATCTTGCATCGCCCTGTCCATACAACACAGTCACTCTCTACAGAAGGCTGCTTCCAGACCTTTTCATATATAATGCTGGTCTCTTACATAAAACATAGTCTTTGTAAGTAATCTACTTGCACATTGTGTGCCTCAGAAAATCTGTAGGTTACTTACAGCACCTAGGATAATTTCAAAGCCATCGGAATAGCTGCTGTTGAGTATTTGTTCAGAGAATAAAGATGGAGAAAGAATGTGTGCACTCACACAAATGCAGCTTTTGGTATGTAACTACCTTCAGTCTGTAGTTAGTTGAGTTTACAGATACTACACCAAGCATAAGTTGGACTGAATGTCTTTGTCTCTCCTGGAACATTTTTGTTCTCCTCTCCATCCCTTCCTTTTATTCTTTCTCCAGAGGAACATTTTAAAAAACAATTAAATCATCTAAGTGGCTATCATGTCTCAATGCTAGTATAGAGACTAGAGACAGTTGGTCTTTGTCTTCAGTCTGGGTTAAACAATTCAGTTGCCAGGGATAGTGTAAAAAAATTAAATGTATATAGAAAAGGTAGAACAGTATTGTAGAAATAAGGAAACCCTAGCCAGGTATGTGATTCATACCTATGATGCCAACCAGAATCTGGAAGATGGAGACAGGAAGATCAGGGGTTCAAGATCATTCTCAACCATGATGATAGGAGATCCTATCTCTAAAAGAGAACAAAGTACAGCAAAAAGGCAACTAGGAAAGCTTTCTTAGAATTTATAAAACCATTAGAAATGTGAATTCTAGAGACCAAAGAAAAGCAATGGGTATTATAGTTAAATTAGAGTGGTAAGAGATAGCTAATGTATCTCCATAGTATTTTCATAAATAAAACAAAAACTATTGTTATTATGTTCCATATGACACCATGCTTTTAAAGTCATGTTGTCTAAAGTTAAAATAAATTGTCCAAATCATGACACTTTATGAACACATTTCATAACTTGATATATCTGAACTTCTAGCATACATAAGATATTTATTGTAGAGGAGCTGATATGGTCACCAAGAAAAACAAAGATACAGGACCTGGTGTTTTGCCAATGTAGTATTGTAGATGTTTGTGTTACAGCACAGTACCCGTTTTATCTGCCATTTCAATTTCTGCACTTTCATAATTTGTAGTCAACAAGCGTATAAACATTAATAAAAATGCTAAATAGAAAATTCCAGGAATAAGTAACTCTGTATTAAGCTGAACATTGTTCTGAGCAGCACAATAAGATCTCACACCATCTTAGTCAACGTATGAGTCACTCCTCACCACCTGTGTGATGGCTATTCTTGACTGACAACTTGACTATATCTGGAATAAACTCTAGTCCAGAAATGGAGGGCACTTTTGTGATCCAGATCTTGAGGTAGGAAGACAACAGGCCTTCGAGGCTAGATGATACACACCTTTAATCCAGACCTGGAGACTGGAAGGCGCACCTTTAATCTGGACCTGTATATGCACAATGGAAGAAGGAGGTGTTCCTCATATGTTTGCCCTCACCTCCATCAGCACATTCTTCTGTGAGACCACAGCAGACCAGCCGAAACACCCAGCCTTGTGGGACTGACTGAGCAGCTACTAGATTCTTGAACTTTCCATTCATAACTAGACATTGTTGGACTGCAGCCTGTAAGTTATATATCTATGGAAATTAATTATTTAAAGTCTATAGGGAGGACTCATTCCACAAATTCTGTGACTCTAGAGAACCCTGAGTAATACAACCTGCCAGTCACCCAGGTTTGTGCTCAAAAAACTCTCATTTTACCGAATAGTGGCCTCAGATTGTGAACTCTGTGAATGCTGGCAACACTGCTATGTCAAAGAGAAGCCACGCATGTTTCCTCATTTGAAAAGGTGAAAACACTCCATTTAAGGAAAGGGAAAAAAAGTAACCGGATTTTGTTAGTACATATCAAGCTGTGAGAATTATAGCCCAGTATGCATATGCTCAATTAAGATGGAAAACTCGGTGTTTGTGTGTGTGAAACTGTGTCCATAGAGATTGCTTCTAACCACAGTTCAGCTCTCCATTAAGAGTTTGAGAACTCAGCCCCTGAGGGTAAGAGGAGACTAATGTAGTTAAAATACTGACACCACCATGGTGGCTGAGGACACTGGGGTCTGCTTGGAATTCCACACCAGCCAGGCTACATATTGAAACCCTGTGCAGAGCAAACAAACAAAACATCATAGAGGCCTAAACTTTGCTCTAAGTTGGAGAAGATCATTCTAGACAACAGTGAAGCCAGTCCCACGGTAAATAATAGAATTGCTCATGTACAAGTGCACCTTCTATAAATGATCCTTCTTGGGGGAAAATGCTGGCTCGTTCCCACACCAAAACACATGCTTTATTTTTGTACAACACTCACTCAGCAATTTTCACTTCTTCCACATCAGCCAGGTTTGACCCCCCAAACACCCTCTTTCCCATGGAACATGTACAAGTCACCCTATTTTATCAGGGAAAACACTATTTGACCCAACTCAGAACTCAACTTGTGGAATTCAGTAGGATGGCAGCTGAGAAAGGTTATTTTCTGCACCCCACTCTCAACTTGAATCCAGTTGTCATGTTAATCAAACCACCTCTGACTCATTCCAAGCACGCTCAGCTAGATTAAAAGCGTGTTTTCTTTGACCTCCCAGATACCTGTCGGTGCCCGCGCTGGCATCGGTTGGCTCTGAAACTCGGCTGTGTTGGGCTGATCCTTCTTGTCCTGGGCATGATTGGACTTGGTGTCTTAGGTAAGTGAGACAAAAACTTTTCCCTTAGAATTCTTTCTCTAGCCTGGCAGTAGGGCAGCATGATTTTAATCCCAGTACTTGGGAGGGAGAGGCAGGTAGATTTCTGTGAATTCAAGGCCAGCCTGGTTTACAGAGATAGTTCAGGACAGTCAAGGTTACATCAAGAAATCCTGTTTTTAAAAACAAAGCAAAACAAAACAAAAATCTTTCTCTAGTTCCATCATGACAATTTTATCTTCTTCCCATGACCTGGCCACCTTGAGTCTGGGGAAGATCGATGATGAGCAGTTACAGGACAATATCCCCTGTGGCATTTCTCTTCCTTCTTTTGAGAATCACTATGGGATGACACATGCGCACCTAGAACTCTAAAAAAAGGTCACACATGTGACAAGATGACAATAACAACGAAAACCACAATGTCTAACTATAAGTTTATTAGGTGTCTGCTGAACTCCAGAAGGCAGCCAGCAACCTTCTTTGCTGTGGGTGTGAGTGCACTTACTCTAGAGGGGAGAAGTTCGGAGTGTGCGTGGGGCAAGGGCCCCAGCAATGCCCTTAGATGTTGTGTAACCTAACAGCAGCGGGAATCCATTTGTTCTGTGCTTTTCTTCTTCTCTGTGCATTCTGTCTCAAAGCGGTCGCTGTTAACATGTTGATCAAACACTGTCTCCCGTCCACACACGAGCTTGTTGAGATGACTTCATTCCCTGAAGCAATAGACACAATATCCATTTTATTGCATGCAGGATGTACATTTCACCTTCTTCCTGTGTTTCATTACTAGTGCTATCCTTATTACAAAAAACATCAGTAGGAGTAATCGGAGGAGAGATCGGAGAAGGCATCATCGGGGATAATCAAGAGAACAATGGGACAAAAACAACAGGTAATTTGATCAATAGCATGTGACCTTTAATCAAGGCTCACATCACTGTGTGTTTATGTTTGAGAAAACTGAAGCGTAAAAGGGTTAATAACATATTGAGAGTCATGTGACTGGTAAGTGGTGCTGCTGGAAACTTCACTGAAGAGATAAATGTGAACTTGAAATCTAGCGTCTTGGCTACGTGACCATGCTGCCTCAGCCTGCTAGCACAGTTGGTTACTAACAGACCAATAGTGAGTTAAAAAGTAAAATGTGGGCCTTAAGGGACAGCTCAGTGGTTAAGAGTGCTTCAATGCAAGTGTGAAGACTGTGGTTGCAAAACCATCGTCCACCTAATGAACACCCCAGATGGTCACTGAGACCTGGTGGCTTTCAGCTTTGCAGAAAAAACATTAGCTTCACGTTCAAGGAGACACTCTGCTTCTAAAGAATAGGGGGAGAGGAACAGAGGCAGAGACCTTACATCCTTCTCTGGCCTCTGCATATACATAGGCATGTGTACTTGCACACATTTGCACATAAAACACACACACACACACACACACACACACACACACACACACACACTTCCTCCAACAAGGCCACACCTCCCAAAGCAGGGCCACTCCCTGATGACTAAGCATTCAAACCTATGAGTCTATGAGGGCCGTTCTTATTCAAACCACCACAAGGAATATCTGACTGTTTTAATAAACATGTCATATAGGTAACTTTGTCTGAAGTTAATTAATAGAAACAAAAATAAAATAAATTCTATGCTACTTATATTTCTTTGATATGCCATAACAGTAATCTTGTCCTAGCACATGTTACTAAAGGTGTGTGTTAGTAAAGCAACTACTGTGTGTAACTGGCTACACACAGCAAGAACAGGGAGGAAATACACCATGTCTCTTTCTCACTTCAGAGAGCCCAGCTAAATTAAGCTGCACAAAAGGCTGGCTTCCACACCGAGATAAATGCATACATTTTTCTCAAGAGAGCAACATTTGGAAGGAAGGTCTAGCTGACTGTGCTACAAAAGGAGCCACTTTACTGCTCATTCAAGACCATGAGGAACTGGTAAGTATATATCTATATCTATATATATGCATGTGTGTATGTATGTGTGTATGCATATGAGATGTTAGCGTGCTCTTGAAGCTACACCAACATCTCTAGACCTAACAGTTCTTCCATGAAAAGAAAGTGGAGATTTACATTGTGGAAGCTCATAGTCTGTGAGACAGATGGGACATGGGAGCCAGTAGCTGTGCATGTGAGGGGCGTGTCCTGGGATCATAGGTTGGGGCACAGGTCCCTCAAAGGAGGAAGAATGAACTGTGCTGGGGACTCGGGTGGATACAGGTGACACGTGACCCAGGTTTCAGGAGCTGGTGGAATGTGAGTCTCAGCACACAGGCTCAGGCTGTCCTCTCCTCTGCTTTGTTGTAGAGACTCGTAAAGGACTCAGCAAATGTAAAAGGCAGTGCATTTTGGATTGGACTGAATCACACATGGCCAGACAAGAACTGGAGGTGGATAAACGGCTCAACTTTAAGTTCTGATGTGTGAGTACTGGAGGAGCTAACTTAATATTCATGCAGGTCATCTCAGGGCTCTAACACTGATACCCAAGATGAGAGAGGTTCAGAACCGTCGGAATATAGGATTCCAAAGGGGGTTGAAATTTTTAATGTATGAAAAGTCACCAGTTTTTTATAAAGTCATGTGTGTGCATGTATGTATGTATGTATGTATGCATGCATGCATGCATGTATATCTGCAATGGAGTTTTAAGGCCAGTAAGTAGACTAACTCCTTTGGAAAATGGCTACTTAGAACCTTTTAGCACACATAATCACTCTTTCTTTTATCGTCTTATACTTTTCTATGCTTTACACAGAATGTCTTAAGCAGCCATTTCAAATTTTGGTGAAAATATAATACAGGTGTCTTCAGATAAAATTTTCAGGTTCCAACTGGGATAGATACAGTATGAAAGAAAAATGCAATAAATATGAGTGTGGAACTCTGGCATCTGAGAGAAACTATGCACTCATAACAGTTGTTTGAGAGGATGTGATGCAATTATGTATCAATCAGCTTTTGTCACTGTGATAAAAAATCTAAGATCAGCAAGAATGGAAAGATGCTTGGAGATATATATATATATATATCCTCATTTAAGAGGTCTCAGTCTGTAGTCTGCTGCTGCATGACTGTGCCTTCTACGGCAGTGCAGAAACACAGTAGAAGGGCAGAGATAAGCAAAGCTGCTCCCCTCAGAGTGGACAGGAGCAGAACAAAGCAGACACAGGGGGAGATAGGCCTTTCAAAGCCTGCCCCTTCCTATGATGCTCACTTCATCAGTAACTTAATCCCTGACAGAGTTAGTGTCCTGTAGCAGGTTTTCTTGGACTACCAGTCCCCAAAACATGATGCGGAGTCTTATTAATTATGAATGCTCTGCCTTAGCTTAGGCTTGCTTCTAGCTAGCTCTTTTCACTTAAATTAACCCATTCCTGTTAATCTGTGTGCTTCTCAGAGGCTCGTTTACCTCAGTTTACCTCATCTATGTACCATCCATCATGCTTTCCTGCCTCCTCAGCGTCTGGTTGGCTGGTCCCGGGTTGACTGGCCAGCTCCCCTCTTCTCTCTGTCTGCCAGCCCTGCCTATCCCTCCTCTGCCTAGTTATTGGTCATTCAGTTGTTGTTTTTTTTTTATTAGACCAATCAGGTACCTTAGGCAGGTGAGGTTAAAAAAAAACACACCTTTACATAGTTAAGCAAATGCAGCATAAACAAATGCAACACACCTTTACATAGTTATGCAAATGCGGCATAAACAAATGCAACACACCTTTACATAGTTAAGCAAATGCGGCATAAACAAATGCAACACACCTTTACATAGTTAAGCAAATGCAGCATAAACAAATGCAACACATCTTTACATAGTTAAGCAAATGCGGCATAAACAAATGCAACACACCTTTACATGGTTTAGCAAATACAAACCTATTCCACAACAGTGATCCACTCATTCCTCAGGAGCATCCCCAGCTGGGCACTAGGGTTTCAATATGTGACCTAAATGTGTATGTAGATCACAAAGTGCCAATTGCTCTTTGGTGTCTCATTTTCTTATTGAATGAGATTTTTCTACACAACAATGAATACAATGGGTTATATATTTTAGCCGAATTCGTGATTACTGGTATAACAAGGAGCAACATGTCACCGTTCAAGACACTGTAGGACCTGAGAAAATGGAGCCGATAAATGAGGCGGACTAAAGTCTCATACAATAGTCAACCTTACAGAAAGCAGCAGACCATCTATACTCTAAGGGTTAGGAAAGTTCATGTGAGCAGAGTTCACACTTTTTAGCTGTATGCAGTAACAATGACAAGCTGAGCATGGCAAATATGGTTTTTCCAGAGAAGCACACAAAGGGCAGTTTAAACATCATGAGTTACCAACAGAAGTACTAATAAGTAATCTGAAATAAACCCACTCCTTTCCTTCCTGCCTGGAGGAGCAAGGACACACATTCCATGAACATTTCCATGTTTTGAAGAAGCTGAGTGACAAGATTCCAATCCTGTTTTCTGGGAATGTTCTCACAGGCACCCAGAGTCCCCCTCACACAAGTCCATTTCTAGACCGTATGCCAACAGCAATGTATTTATGCTTTTCATAAGCAAAAGCAGGCATGGTTCAATCAAATATCTGCACAGAGATTTAATTTTTTTTCTGAAATGATATTGAGAATCATATTTAACTAATTGTGCTGGTGAATTTTATTTCAACTTGACACAAGCTAGAGTCATCTGAGAGAAGGGAGCCTCTACTGAGAAAAATGCCTCCATAAGATAGGGCTGTAGGCAGGCAAACCTGTGGGGCATTTTCCTAATTAGTGATTTATGGAGGAGGACCCAGCCCTTGGTGGTGGTGCTATTCCTGGGCTGGTGGTCCTGGGTTCTATAAGAAAATAGACTGACCAAGTCTTGAGGAGCAAGTCAATAAGCAGCACCTCCATGGCCTCTGCATCAGCTTCTGTCCTGCTTGAGTTCCTGCTCTGACGTCCCTCGGTGATCTATTAGTGAAGCAAACTCGTTTTCTTCCCAAGATGCTTTCGGTCATGCTGCTTCATCACAGCAATGGCAACCCTAGCTAAGACATGAATCTTGAAAAAATTTACGAAAATTGCGCAGACCAATACTTAAAACATTCCTTTAAATAATTTAGAATAAAAAGGTTGAAATTTAAAATACTGAAACATGTAGGCTTATATAAAATATAATGATAATGTATTAGATATAGAGATTGTTAAACAGAAGTTAACCTAGACAGCAAATGTTAGCAGTATACAGAACCACATTTTGAATTTTTTGTAAAGAATGAGACTTTAAGGTGAGGATTATTTAACTCATTCTTTTTTTTTCTGAGACAGGGTTTCTCTGTATTGTTTTGGAGGCTGTCCCTGGAACTCGCTCTGTAAACCAGGCTGGCCTCAAACTCACAGAGATCCGCCTGCCTCTGCCTCCCGAGTGCTGGGATTAAAGGCGTGAGCCACCAACGCCCAGCAAGGATTATTTAAAAACAAGCATTCTGTTCTAAAATATATTTGTGAAAACAAAAGCATACACATTCTGTTTCAGAAAATCTATCCTGCTTTTTCCTAATGATTTCTGAGTGTTTTACTTAGAGTTATTGCTGTGACCAAAAACAAGTTGGTTTTTCTGTTTCTCACGGAAGGAGTAAGGACAGGCACTGAAAACAGGGCAGGAACCTAGAAGCAGGAGCTGGTGCCGAGGCCATGGAGGGGCACTGGTCCCTATCCTCTGGCTCTTATATTCTTTCTGCCCCCTTTTCCATGACGTTCCCTAAGGCAGGGTTGGGGGGATGATATAGCTGTCCCACTTAGGGCTGAGCACTCAACAATCACTCATTCTCAGTATTTTGACCAGTTGTGAGTCTCTGCTTCATTCACTTCTCACTACAAAAAGAAGTTTCTGTGCCAAAGACTGAGAGCAGCAATAATCTGTGGTATAAACTTTTCTATTCTGAAGGCATTTTGTAACATGCTCATTCTGCAATACAACAGTAGTATGCTACCAGTATGGGTTTGACCAGTCTTGCAGCACAGGCATGAATTCCATGCTGTAGACTGGGACTCAAATCCAGCCAGAGAATGGTTGGTTACTTCCATAATAGTCTTGCCACTATTGTGCCAATGGTATAACCAGGTTGTTATTGTAGTTTGTGGGGTCCACAGCTAAGTTGGACATTGATGACTCTTCTCACCCAGAAACCTGCATAGCACTTCTGTGTGTGTGAGGGATGTAGTGTTTGTGTGTGTATGTGTGTGATGTAGTGTGTGTGTGTGTGATGTAGTCTGTGTGTATGTGTGTATGATGTAGTGTGTATGTGTGATTCACAGTAATAATAACATTGTAAGACAGCTAAAGTGTATGTTTCAAGCTCAGTCCATCTGTCATCTTACCCTCAGTATAAAATCTATGTGTAAAATGATGCTTTGACTACCTGACAGTGGTCAGGTAATCCTGGAGGCTGCTGAGCTACGCTGGAAAGAGCATCATGTAAGCACTGCTTTTGTTCTAACTCTCTGACCCTGGTTTTCAGATAAGGAAAAAGCAGCCACTGTCCCTGCATGGGAAGTGTTAAAGGCATTTAACAGAACAGCCCTAAGGAATACCTTTAAAATTGAAGAAAAATCCTGAAGCATGGAAGAAATAAGACAAAGGGACATTTACAGTGGAGGGGAGTCTGTGGTATGATCAGCACACAGGCAGTTGGGTGAGAGCAATTCTGTCTCTCAGACCCAAAGGGTTCCATGAAGAAATGACAGAAGGAAAAAGAGCATCTGTGAGGACATCCCACCCACTGTATACACCCCCTTCTGTCTACAACAAATCTGTGCATTTTAACTCACCTCTTCTTTACCGTTAACTCTGATTTCACCTATACTGTGTTTGAACTCTAGTCTTGTTCACACCTGCAGTGAGCCATGGGAGCCATGCATGAGTTTTAACAAAGGGAATAAGGGATCCATTATTATCACACAGCCTTAGTCTCTTTCCTCTGTAGACCCTGAGAGCTAAGTCTGTATATTAAACACTGTCACTAGGTACTGGCTGTGCCTAGCTGTCTCACACTTTCATGGATATATGAACTCCTTCCACAATCATTGGCTGGTTATATGCTATATACCTAGGAAGCTGAAACACAGCAGAGAGAGGCAGCCTAGTTCCTTGCTTGAGATGTTAGCCGTAGAATGAAATTCAGTTCTATTTCCAAACCATCTCCCTTTTTTATATCATATGAATATTTTTGCTGAAGGAATTCTCCAGTTGAAAATAAAATTGAAAATTATCCAGGAGATTTGTTGATAAACCTTTATCGTTAGTGTTGATGCATGTTGTTACTCTATGTTTTTCTATGATTAATAACTATGTATTCTTCAGTTCAGAGGAAAAGATGGCCAACTCAAGATAATGATGGGAAAATCCTAAACACTAAGAGTGGCTGTTCTCTTCCTCTCAGACTACAAATCACTGGTGAAGCTAAAAAAGACAGCTGTGCCTCCATCTCAAAGGACAGAGTGATTTCTGAGGACTGTGCTTCAGACAACATGTGGATCTGCCAAAAGAAACCAACACTCGTCCCTGAGACCCTGTGTCCTGACTCCTGACTGAGAATCCCATCTTCATCACTTTACTGTCCACACCAGATCTCTGCACTCGACCTGTCTGGGCCGTTGACCACCCCTCCCCTCAGTGCACAGTTAGTAGCACAAAGCATGGACTCTACAGCCTCTGTGACTCCCACAGATGCCCGTGTCCAGTTTCTTTATTCTGTGAGGGGACAGAGATGCTGATGTGCCCTTCTCAGAGAGGTGTTCTGTGGAAAGAAGCCCAGGCAGCTGAGAGGCGCTGGATTCTTTCCTGGAGTCTGTGTGACCTTGGCTGGTCTCTGTGCATTCGGAAAACTGCGAGTCCTCACCTCTCCATCCCTCCACTCCCCAGCCTCACCCACAAGCCGTCACTCTGCTGGGCTGGAGAACCTTGACTGACACCAGAAGCGCGTGGTAAATGGATTTGGGGAAAGGACTGAGTGGTTTGAATAGCACCTACAAAATCCTAGGTAAACTGAGCCCTGGTCGTGTCTCCACCAGGACTTGATGCACGGGCAGATCCTGGGCCAACAGTGGCATCTTGGTGCTGGGCTTCACAGCTCCAGAACAGCAGAGATGACCTTCTTTCTGGAAAGTTTCCTGTGTAAGCCACAGGAAAGTAAGCCAAGGCAAGGCTTAACTCTTCCCACCAATCCACTAGTCCTTTCTGCTCTAGTGTGCGCGTCATTTCTTCTCCTCACACTTGGAGAATTTAAATAAAAAAGATCTTTAGCATGTCCTCTTTTCTAAAAATTTGCCAAATTTTCCAAGAAAATGAAGGAGTAAGAATACTGAATTTATTTTACAAGGAGATATAAAATGAAAAGTAGACATCTATATACTCTAATCACTTAATTTCAAGTCGAATTATTTAAATTGAAGCACATATTATCATGATTCAAATAAATTCTCAGTTCCTATTTTCCAGAAATAAAGTTTGAATACTTAATGATAATAATTTCCAATGTACAAACACTGAAAGAACAACTCATTTTGTGAAAATGCTTAGAAAACAAACTACTTAGGAAAACCTCTCGGAGAAAATCAGCACTGTAAATCATTACCAACAGTGAAGTCTGCAACTGTTCCGAGCATGCAGCTAAGCAGATAGGAGCAGGAGGGAGGCAGGGTCATGCACACCCACCTTTTTCTAGTTTGGTACATCCTGACCAGGGAGGGAGTCAAGGGGACTATGGCTGTGACCTGGTTGCTGTGTCTCCTGATGCTGCAGTGGTCCTTTGTGTCTCCTGATGCTGCAGTGGTCCTTTGTGTCTCCTGATGCTGCAGTGGTCCTTTGTGGCTAGACACCCTTGAAGCTGCTTTTGAGCTCCTCCTGCCATGTAAGAAATTAAGGCACCAGGGGACTTTCCCAATGACCACAAATGCCACCAATGAGCAGGGAAGGAAAAAATGTGGGGGCATCTTGGCCCTGAAACAATTTCAGCAGAGTAAGATAAATGAAGCTGGCTCCCAAAGGGAGGAACTTGACATTGACACAAGAGAGAGGGGACCACAGGAAACCTTTTAAAAATCCGCCATGCAGAGCCCAATGGGCTGCCAGCCCTTCAGTGCTTCCTGCTCCAATATCATTCTGGAGTTTGTTATTGCCTGGAGTGCCTTTGACTTGCTAAATAAACTTCAGCTCAAACTGTGTCTTAGCTAATTCTTTCTGTGAAAAGACAAGATGGGAGGAGAAATCTTTACCTGGTGTGTTAGTTAACATTTTGACAACCTGACAGAAGCCAGGCTCATCTGGGAGGAGCGAAACTCAATTAAGAAAACACCTCCCTAAACCTGGACCAGCGTAAGCTAGCCTGTCAGGCATTTTCCTGACGAACGGCTGACAGGACGGGCCCTCGCTGTAGGTGGTGCCCCCACCCCAGGAAGCTGGTCCTGCATAATATAAGAAAGCAAACTGAGCAAGGCAGGAGGAGGGAGCCAGTAAGCAGCCTTCGCCCATGGCTTCAACCTCAGTTCCTGCCTCCAGGTTCCTGCCTGAGCTCTTCACCTGCCTCATCCTCAAGGTTTACTGTAAACTGTAAACTGGAACAAACCCTTGCCTTCCCAAGTTGCTTCCGGTCACGGTGCTGATCACAGCAGCAGAAACCTGAGCTATGTGGCGATGGAATGGCCCCCATGAAATAGTTACTGACAAGCACACCGATTAGGCCAAGGGAAAGTTTGAGTCCTTTATTAATGGCCAGATGACGATGGGTTCATGCCTCTGGAATGTTTCCTGGTGCCTGAGCTTAGAAGTACAGCGCTTAAAAGACAAAACCATCAGGTGAGGTGGTGAACGCCTTTAATCCCAGCACTTGGGAGGCAGAGGCAGAGACAGGTGGATCTCTATGAGTTCAAGGCCAGCCTTGCCTACTGAGTGAGTTCAGGGCAGCCAAAGATACATAGAGAAACCGTGTCTCGAAAAATCAAACAAATAAATAACTAAATAAAAGAACCACAATTGCACCAGTGCTGGGAGGTACATTAGTCAGGGATTTAGAGTTGCCTGGTAACATCTTCATTCTTTACAAGGCTCGGCGGCAGCGTCTTCCAGGCATCACACAATACATTTGAACCATGGTCAAGGCCGTGGACAGTCTCAGAAGCATCACCACGGTGACTGTGGCTGCTGGGGTGGAAGGCTAAGAAGTGGCCAGGCAGGGACAAAGTCATTTCAGTAACACAGTGACACCATCAGAGCACAGATCTAAAGGAAACAGCCCCATAAATAATCATTCGCATGCTCACCTCCTGACACGGTATTGGCAACAACTTGGCATGGTTCTGGTAGCAAGTTGGCGTGGTATTGGTGACAACTTTCTGGCACCGTGCAAGATGAGCTGAGTCCTTCCTGATGGTTCATGACATATCCCCCGTACAGATGTTACATATGAAATCAAGTAACCCTAACGGCCACGTTGGGTGGCAAGTTTTCCCATGACCCCAAAGGGTTAGATTTTCCATCACTTCTGCTTCGGTATTTACTGTTGGATAGCATCTTACTGAGGTCGACTCTGGAACTCCAGCTCCGAAGGTGAAATTCCACCTGGAAGGCTTGTAAAGTATCAGGTCTAATTCAGATGTCACAGGGGTCAGATCTGAATCAGTGTTTGTCCACGTAAAGTAACTGCAACTCTAAGCCACGTCCAAAGTATGCTCTTCCAACCCCGCCTCCTGTCAATTATAAAACAAAACCAGAGATGAATGCTCATGAGGAAACAGAAAAGATAAAGTGCCTACCTTGGTGGGACTGAAAGCGGTCATGGTCGTTACGTACAACAGCAAGGGAGCCCTCAAAAGCTAGAGATCCACCCACTTTACCATCAAACAATCCCGCTCTGTGCCTATGTCCCGGTAAAAGAAAAATTACAAAATGGTTTTACTTTTAATTTTCAAGGACGGAAGATGGAAAAGGAAGAGACAAGGGAATTTAATCAGTTAGCGGCTATTAGTTCAAGGATGTCCTTCAGACCCTACAGCCTCAGCCTCCCGAGTGCAGGGACTAAAGGCGGTGCCACCATGCCTGGCCCCACAGCACGCTAATTTGTGTGTTAACGACTGTCCTGTGAATCCTCTCAAGGCATCTTTGCGCATTTATCTTCCTAGATCCAGCAATAAAAGATGAGTCTTAAGAAGTTTTCACTTTCACTACAGGGCTGCTAGATCATAAATTCAAAGGGGGAGACTGTCGCCACCTTGTGTCCATAATGCATAACTGATGAGGCAAAATCCGTGCAAGTTAGCTAGTGTTTACTGGAAGTCTTTTAGTTCATCGGCTGGATGGCAGTTTTCTTTTTTAAACTTACTTTTATTATGCTTTAATTGCATGTGCGGGTGCTCTTAGAGGCCAGAGGCGGCGGCTTCCCTAGAGCTGGAGTTACAGATGGCCGTAGATAACCTGCTGTGGGTGTTGGGAACCGAACTCACAGCCCAGACCCTCTACAGGAGCAGCACGTGGTCTGAACCTCCAGACAGTCTCTCCAGCCCCTGGTGGGTACTCTGCTGCTGGCTGTCCGAGGGCAGCTCGGAGCTGTCGCTTAGGATTTCTCAAAGGAATGGGCATCCATCTATCAGAAAAACGATGGTGTCCATCTTGTCGATGGCGCGTCCTTTTCATCGGAAAGCACGAACCTCAAAATCAACAGTTCGCAGTGTTCCCACCTTCGTCTTGCTGTCGCTGGCTGGTATCTGTATCCTCAGCACCCGGGAAGGTCCCTTCCTTCACAGGGTGACAGTGGCTTTTTTTTTTCATGGAGTTACTTTGAGAGAAGTAAATTTCCATGTTCACGTCATGAAGGGATTTGCTTGGATAATAATGTAGAAAAGTCCCTTCTACCCGTTTAATGATAAGACTGGTCCTGTCTGGTCACACCTGCCCCAAGCGCATGAGTGGCCCCTAACGAATCTCTAAGGGACAGAGTCTCTCACCAGATTTGTGCAACCCAGCTTGTCATTGTTTTGGAGTACTTTGTTTTCTCTGTTTTTTTTAAAATAAAGATTAAAATTTCGAAGTTATTTAGCAGCATTCTCAGAGAAGTAGGCAAGCAACGACTGAACCGCAGACAAATCTCTGTTTGTATGAAGGATGAATTTTTCCCTTTCTCTCTGGAGTTGCCGACAGACCAACCTGAATTCAGAGAGAAGGTCATGTTTCTGGATTCACTTTATAGCCTGTTTAGCAATTCAGTTATATCATTATAAAATAAAACTCTTGTACACAAATACATAAATAAATAAATGTAATTTTAAAAACAGCTCAACCAAATGCTGTTATCCAAATCCTCCAGTTTCCCCAAGCCCTGTGTAAAGCCTGGGTGACTCTAAAACATTTTTCCTGACTTAAAACTTTGACAATTTAATTGTCTGTGAGAATGAGCCAGAAACAGTCGTGAGCCACACCCCTGCCACAGCTGGAAGGCATACCAACTTGGAAACCGCCTTCTCGGTGCTGTCGGGAGCTCACTTAGAGCAGAGTGCAAACTGTAGCGTGACTGCTGTGTCCATGTTTTCTGACCGCGCTCCTGGTCTCTTCTCATCCATGGCCACGCTCTTCATGTATGGCGTCTTGCTAGCCTTCCGGATGTCTTTCCCTCAGGTTACCAACTCCTCATAGGCAAGAGGGCTGATGTCAACCAATGTGGAATGCAAGGATATTTTAGCGCATGAACACCAACAGAGCCCGAAGTTGACAGAGGAAAGACGAAGAAGGTCGCGAGGTCGTCTCAGGGAGCACGGAGACAGCATTGGACCAGATCACACACCACTTGATGGTGAGACATTTGACAAACCCCACTAACACAGTGAACACAAAGCCCGAGGGTAATGTCTTACTCAGGGGGGCAAGACTCAGAGCAAGTGTGCCTACCCCTGCTGGCCAATAAACACACTGCTGTCCAGCGTAGAGCTGGAGGCGGCAGGCACACAAAAGAGCTAAAAAACAAAGCCATCAAATCAGTCTCTGTTAGCAGAGAACACACTCTTTAAAAATTACATTGGTTTATTTGTGTGGGTGCAATGTGTGCACCTGTGCACATGCGTGGAGCTCAGGGGACAACTAGCAGAAGACGTGGGCCCCAGGGATCAAACTCGGGCTCCTCTGACACGGCAGCAGACACGCTCATCACTGAGCCATCTCACTGGCCCTGGGACCCAATATATTAAAAACAAACAAACAAGAAACAACTCTAAAGATTGCCCTCCCCCACCCCACCTCCGTGTGTGTGTGTGTGAGTGTGAGTGTCTGGCTGTCTGTCTGTCTGTCTGTCTGTCTGTCAGAGATTAGAGCTCATAGTACGTGGGCAGAGGTAGCAGGCAGACATGGTACCTGGAGCGGGAAGCGAAGAGGTGGCATCTTGAAGCAAAGAGGAAGTGGGTGGGGCCTTAGGTGGCAGGCTTAGAGATCCGGCAAGGCCACACCCCCAAGCCTCCCCAAACAGCAACGCCACCCGGGGAGCAAGTGTTCACATGCTCAGGACTAGGAGGACATTTCTTATTTGAAACACAGTAGTTACCTTGTGTACATCACTTACAATGAGCAATTCGAAGGGAAAGCTAAAATAATTCCGTGGACAACACCATGAAACAGGCTAAACTACTTACGAATAAACCAAGTTATAGAGTGAATGTTTTATACAGTGGAAGTCAGAACACATTGCTGGATGAAATTAAAGAAAACCCTAATAAATGACATCGTGGATTAACAGGCACTAACAAAGTGACCTACAGACACAAGGCAATCTCCGTCAAAACCTTAACAACGTCTACCAGAACTGCATGAATCTGAAACATCCAAAGCACTTGGAAAATACACAGAGCTGGAGGACTTAGGTAGGCTTATGTGAAAATATATTAGTAACCTGTAATAACGAAGTAAGTATGGTACTGGCATAGAGAAAAATAAATCAAAGAAAAAGATTACATAACAATGAGTATTGTTATGTGTTCCCATTTATGGTCACATGATCTTGACAAGGGTACCAAAGCTACACTGTGTGGGGGGTGAGGGGGACAGTCTCTCGGGCGAATGACGATGGGAGAACTGGATGACCATGCACGTTTGGGGCTTATTGCTCATCTTATACAAAAATAAACTCAGAATGAATTAAGGAGATAAACAAAATTCTAACATTCTAAAATTCCTATAAGGAAACATGAAGCATTCATGACATTGTATTTGAGGATGACTTCCTGGATGTCAGCAGACACTGAATGGACAAATGAGGCTACTTTAATCTTGGTAATTCTGCAGAGGCTCAGGAGCTGCCCGGCGGCGAGGGAGTGTGTTTCCCGGGGAGACCGGCAGGGGGCGCGGGAGCGGGAAGCGCTTCCAAGGCCTGTCGAAGCTGCGGTTCTTTAGAACCGGCGGCGGTCGTGGGAATGTGCGGGAGGCCTACGAATTTGGATTGCAGGAGGGTGGAGCTAAATTCTGCAGCTAAGATTCCCTCCTCCTCCGGGGGTGGGGCCAGTGACGTCAAAGAACTCATCCTCAACTAGCCTTTTGAGATCTCTAGTTCTCGCCGGTTCTGGTGGCGCAGGCCGGTAGGATTTGCTGAAGGAGGCAGAGGCAGGAGGATCTGGAGTTCGAGGCCAGCCTGGACTACACTTTTTTTTGTCTTCCGAGAAAAGAACCACAGCTACGTGATACTCTGAAATACCTACACGCACAAAGCCTCTCCGCACCGTCCTCTCACCCTGCTTTTGCTCGGCTGCCAACACCCAACAGACAGACGCACGGGTGCCCGCTGCTCACTCTGCACTGCTCTCCCCGGCAGGCTCCCTTCCCTACAATCCCTCTCCTCAGCCCCTCCAACACTTGGGTTCATTCTTTCTCTAGCCTGCGCGTGCTAGGGTCTGCGTCTCCAGGGCTCGCCGTGTGCGGTCCCGGGGAGCACCCAGCCGGAGACCCGCAGTCCCACGGTCCGCTCCGCACGGCTTGCGGCACACAGATCTGCCCTCTCCTCTGCCTGCTCACTCTGAGAGACGACCTCCAGTGATCTGCCCTGCGCCTCGCACATTTTCTTCCCCAGCTCTTGCTGGCGACCCCGCAGCCTCTCCCTGACCCCGTCCTTCTCCTCCTACAGCTCTCCTCTGCTAGTCACTGTCGGCGGCTTGTGACACCCCTCAAGTCATCGGGACACGTGTGCCTCATCGTCCTCTTCTCCCGAAGATTCTTGTGCCGAGCTGCCCCTCACTATTCGCGGGGCCCTTAGGGATCTCTCCCTTGCCCGGGCACCTGTAGTAGCCTGGGGTCCACATGCCGGAGGGCAAGACTTCCTGTGATGGCAGCTTCTGTGCCTGGCAGAGCCCCCTCTTGTGTGGAGGTCTCCCTTCCGGGAGGAGCTTTGTGCTGTCTGCTAGCGCTCAGGCCTCCTCCTGACTGCGCTGATAGCATGTGGCAGGCCATTACCAAACAGCCCTTCCTGATTAGGGAGGAAGGATGCCGGGTCCTACCTATGCTCGCACCATTCACCGTGTAACTCTTCCTGACAGAAAGCAAGCAAGCTTGTGGTTTCTACCAGACCGTCACAGGTCCTGTTGCCATCAACACGGGCATGTGAGCACCTGCTTACGCCCCTGCGTGCGCATCCCGTGGGCCACCACGTGCCCCGGGATAGCTAGGAAAGAATGCAGCCCTACCTACGCAAAATTGAAAACGTGCTTAACACATGATGAGACGTTTTGTGCTTGAGTTTTGCTTTGCTTTGACCCAATCACGTAGTTCTCAAGAGTGACGTTTGTGGGCCACAGTATCCCGCTGCCGGGTCGAAAGGTTGGGCACGCCTGTGCGCACGTTTCGCCCTAGCTGTGTCAACACTGAGTGGGCAGGAGGTTGAGGCAGAGGCGACCCGCTCCAGTCTAGACTACAGTTTCCTGTTTCACCAAATGCTCTTCCTGTCACACTTGCTTCTTCCGGTTTCCTCCATTTCTTCCCTCCTATTAGTTAAAATCCACTCTATATCGGGGTTCGTTCTGGACTGCACCAACCAACCTGCCCAAAAAGGTACAGGGAAGGAACAGCTTACAAGAGTAACCCCACCTGGGCACACCCTGTGTGCTGTTGCGTGGTTTTGTGACTTTGACTGAAGTTAAGAGCCTTCTGGTTAGAGGAGACATAACTGAGAAAATACCGCAATAAGACTGGCCAGGCAGTAGGCGTTTTCTTTGCTAATGATTGGCACAGGAGTGCCCGGCAACGGGAGTGCTGCCGCGTGTGGGCAGGTGGTCCTGGGTTATACTAAAAGGCTAGCAGAGGAAGCCATGGGGAGCACGCCAGTCAGCAGTGCTCCTCCCTGGAAGTCTCCATGCCCTGCCCCCCCTGCCCCACGCTCCTCCCTGGAAGTCTCCATGCCTGCTCCCCCTGCCCCACGCTCCTCCCTGGAAGTCTCCATGCCTGCTCCCCCTGCCCCACGCTCCTCCCTGGAAGTATCCCTGCCCTGCTCCCCCTGCCCCACGCTCCTCCATGGAAGTATCCCTGCCCTGCTCCCCCTGCCCCACGCTCCTCCCTGGAAGTCTCCATGCCCTGCTCCCCCTGCCCCACGCTCCTCCCTGGAAGTCTCCATGCCTGCTCCCCCTGCCCCACGCTCCTCCCTGGAAGTATCCCTGCCCTGCTCCCCCTGCCCCACGCTCCTCCCTGGAAGTATCCCTGCCCTGCTCCCCCTGCCCCACGCTCCTCCCTGGAAGTCTCCATGCCCTGCTCCCCCTGCCCCACGCTCCTCCCTGGAGGTCTCCATGCCTGCTCCCCCCGCTCCACGCTCCTCTCTGGAGGTCTCCATGCCTGCTTCCCCTGCCCCACACTCCTGCCTGGAGGTCTCCATGCCTGCTCCCCCTGCCCCACGCTCCTCCCTGGAGGTCTCCACTGTCTGTTCCCCCTGCTCCACGCTCCTCCCTGGAGGGCTCCACTGCCTGCTCCCCCTGCCCCACACTCCTGCCTGACTGGCCTTTTCTCCACGACGGACTGTGACCGGGATGCGTGAGGCTGATAAACCATTTCCTCCCCAAGCCTCTTTTGTCACGATCATTATCACGATAGAAGGCAAACTAAGGCACACAGTCTTACAGTACGTCCCAGCCCTGTAGAATGTTCTCCAATGAGATGAATAGCAAGATTCAGGATTTAAAAGAAGAGCTATAAACAGAAGTCAGGAAGTGTCGGGGTTTGAGGAGGTCACACCTCTTGAATGCACTTAAAAGGACAGGAATACAGTCCCACCTGGAGTCCAAGACAAGGCAAACAAATGTCTGAACGGAGTGATGAGCAGTGCGGCCTGGAAGAGGAATAAACAAACACTGAAAGGAACTAAAAAAAAAAAGAGGAATAAATGCTGAAATGGAGATAAAATTGAAAAACTCAATATCCCATCTGTTAGGGACACTCGAGTACAGGACACCAGACACCTTCAGGCAAGCAGCCTTTGTATGTGTGAGGGTTCAAGCAGAGAACCAGACTAGAACGTAGCCAGGCAGAGACGTATTTGGTACCATAGTTTAATGGCTACTTTAAACCCATAGGGTGGGCTTAAACGTTTCCTATGTCCGGAAGGGAGAACGGCTTGGGGAGTATTGCAAGGTCACACGCTGCCCTTTGGTGGAGTCTAAACACAATGGTGGTCTCTCTGTCCTTCTTTCAAGGCCTCCTGGAAGACTTACGAAGCAAAGAGGGGATTGCTGGAGGGATGTATCAAGGGTTCTGTACATGCAAGGGCATTCATTGCTCGGCCCTGTGGCTGCAATCCGGTTTTCATTGCCCTGGGTCTCAAGGGAGGCTACCTCACGTTGAGAAGACTCACTGGAAAGCCTACCTCACGTTGAGAAGGCCCAATGGAAAGCCTTCCTAGGAGGAGTAGGTCAGGCAGAAGATAGAATGTGAGGACCTGGAGACACAGCCGAGCAACTGGAAAACACTACCTTTAAAACAAAGACAGAAAAAACTATTGAAGCCCACATTTATGAGTTACCGGTTTAGAGGTGAAAGAAAATGAGTGGGGTGTCCAGAGACGGCCCAGAAGGCATTGCTGCTCTTGGGATATGCTGTCTGTGAACGGCACGCCAGCAGGCCACAGTCTCTTACCTGCGACCAGCTCTCAAATGACATCATGTGCTGAATAGTCCCAGGAATTGGCCCATTCGTTCCCTGAAAACCCTCAAGATCTGATAACGTCCACCGGACACCTCCTCACACTCACGAGATGTGCCCCACTAACTTCCCAGGTATTTCTCAATCTTAGCACGTTGACAATCAAGGTTGAGCGTCCCAACAGCATAAAGATGCCCAAGGAATACGTGACAGGCCGCGCAACATCGCTGCTCTTCATGGGGATTAAAGTGAAAACACAGTGAGGAAAGCTCCTGGTTTCTAGCTCTGCATGACGGAGCGTGGAAGTTTCCAGTTCATGCTCACACAAACACCCGGGTGAACCAGCTAGAAACCAAACAGCTCTCCTAGGCCGTGCAAGGGAGGTGAGGACAGCAAAGAAACTTGGGAGTTCAGCGTTAAAGGCACCAGGTGGCCGGCGACCTTATCACACTTCCCCGACCCTCAGCAGCACACTAGAGGTCTCATTCTGCAGTCCCTGTACTTGGAGCAATTGTGTGTGATTACCAAGAAAAAGGCCCACGCAGGCGAGGACAAAGAGCGAGTTCAAAGGAATCCACGCCCGGAGGTGCGGAGGTGTCTCCGGGGTGACCAGCAGGGGGCGCGGGGCGGGAAGGGCTTTCGGGACCCCTGATGTTGGGGTTCCCTGGAACGAGGGGAGTGTGTGAGTCGGGCGGGCGGAGAGCGCGCTTGAGCCGGGATGGCAGCGGTTTGGGAGAAGGCGAACTGGGGGGGGGCCTTAGATACAGTTTCCACGCTACACTCCTCCCACAGTGTTGGGAGGGCGACGACGTCATCGTGAGTCATAGCGAAGTAGCATTTTGATGGCACGAGCTACCGCCGGCTCTGGTGGCGCAGGCCGGAAGGATTTGCTGAAGGAGGCAGAGGCAGGTGGATCTGGAGTTCGAGGACAGCCTGGTCTACACATTTTTTTCAGCCCTCTCCCCCAATTGTTTTTCCTGGCAGGCGCCCTCTTTATTCTAATCTTAACATGAAAACAAATCCACGGCCACACACAGGCTCAAACATCCCTTTAACTGCCGCAATTCTGAGCCCCATTTTCCTCCCACTCCGGCCCCCCCAGCCCGCGCCTGCACCCAGCTCGCACCAACCCTCCAGCCTCTCAGCCACCAGTGCCGTTTACAAGCTCTTGCCCGCGCAAAATTGCACAGGTCGGACCCTCTTGTCCTCACTCCACACTCCTGACTCGATTCCTTCACTCCAATCCGTGTCCTCAGCCCTCCCGACCCTTTGGCTCCATTTCGCTAGTGCTGCACGGGCGAAGCAGCAAGCAGTGGTCGCCCAGACCAGAAATGATCGTAGCAAGAGTTCAGGTTTTTGTTTGTGTAGGGTTTTGGCAGAAATCCGTGGAACGGAATTATGAAATACTCAATGGCGGTGGCATTCCGACACGCCTGCTACCTACATCAGATCAAGATTCGCTCTTGGCAGCGGGCTGGAGGGATCGCTCAGCCGTTAAAGGCTAGGCTCACAACCACAAATGCCTGGCCTTTTCTTCACGACGGACTGTGACCGGGACGCGTGAGGCTGATAAACCATTTCTTCCACAAGCCTCTTTTGTCACCATCTTTATCACGATAGAAGGCAAACTAAGGCAGACAGCCATACAGTGCCTCCCAGCCCTGTAGAATGTTCTCCAATGAGATGAATCGCAGGATTCAGGATTTTAAAGAATAGCTATAAACAGAAGTCAGGAAGAGTCGGGGTTTGAGGAGGTCACACCTCTTGAATGCACGTAAGAGGACAGGAATACAGTCCCACCTGGAGTCCAAGAGAAGGCGAACAAATGTCTGAACGGAGTGATGAGCAGGGCGGCCTGGAAGAGGAATAAACACTGAAGGGAACTAAAAAAAAAAAAAAAAAAAAAAAAAAAAGAGGAATAAATGCTGAAATGGAGATAAAATTGAAAAACTCAATATCCCATCTGTTAGGGACACTCGAGTACAGGACACCAGACACCTTCAGGCAAGCAGCCTTTGTATGTGTGAGGGTTCAAGCAGAGAACCAGACTAGAACGTAGCCAGGCAGAGACGTATTTGGTACCATAGTTTAATGGCTGCTTTAAACCCATAGGGTGGGCTTAAACGTTTCCTATGTCCGGAAGGGAGAACGGCTTGGGGAGTATTGCAAGGTCACACGCTGCCCTTTGGTGGAGTCTAAACACAATGGTGGTCTCTCTGTCCTTCTTTCAAGGCCTCCTGGAAGACTTACGAAGCAAAGAGGGGATTGCTGGAGGGATGTATCAAGGGTTCTGTACATGCAAGGGCATTCATTGCTCGGCCCTGTGGCTGCAATCCGGTTTTCATTGCCCTGGGTCTCAAGGGAGGCTACCTCACGTTGAGAAGACTCACTGGAAAGCCTACCTCACGTTGAGAAGGCCCAATGGAAAGCCTTCCTAGGAGGAGTAGGTCAGGCAGAAGATAGAATGTGAGGACCTGGAGACACAGCCGAGCAACTGGAAAACACTACCTTTAAAACAAAGACAGAAAAAACTATTGAAGCCCACATTTATGAGTTACCGGTTTAGAGGTGAAAGAAAATGAGTGGGGTGTCCAGAGACGGCCCAGAAGGCATTGCTGCTCTTGGGATATGCTGTCTGTGAACGGCACGCCAGCAGGCCACAGTCTCTTACCTGCGACCAGCTCTCAAATGACATCATGTGCTGAATAGTCCCAGGAATTGGCCCATTCGTTCCCTGAAAACCCTCAAGATCTGATAACGTCCACCGGACACCCCCTCACAGACACTCACGAGATGTGCCCCGTTAACTTCCCAGGCATCTCTTAATCTTAGCGCGTTGACAATCAAGGTTGAGCGTCCCAACAGCATAAAGATGCCCAAGGAATACATGACAAGCCGCGCAACATCCCTACTCATCGTGGGAATTAAAGTGAAGGAAAGACTGCTGGTTTCTAGCTCTGCATGACGGAGCGTGGAAGTTTCCAGTTCATGCTCACACAAACACCCGGGTGAACCAGCTAGAAACCAAACAGCTCTCCTAGGCCGTGCAAGGGAGGTGAGGACAGCAAAGAAACTTGGGAGTTCAGCGTTAAAGGCACCAGGTGGCCGGCGACCTTATCACACTTCCCCGACCCTCAGCAGCACACTAGAGGTCTCATTCTGCAGTCCCTGTACTTGGAGCAATTGTGTGTGATTACCAAGAAAAAGGCCCACGCAGGCGAGGACAAAGAGCGAGTTCAAAGGAATCCACGCCCGGAGGTGCGGAGGTGTCTCCGGGGTGACCAGCAGGGGGCGCGGGGCGGGAAGGGCTTTCGGGACCCCTGATGTTGGGGTTCCCTGGAACGAGGGGAGTGTGTGAGTCGGGCGGGCGGAGAGCGCGCTTGAGCCGGGATGGCAGCGGTTTGGGAGAAGGCGAACTGGGGGGGGGGCCTTAGATACAGTTTCCACGCTACACTCCTCCCACAGTGTTGGGAGGGCGACGACGTCATCGTGAGTCATAGCGAAGTAGCATTTTGATGGCACGAGCTGCCGCCGGCTCTGGTGGCGCAGGCCGGAAGGATTTGCTGAAGGAGGCAGAGGCAGGTGGATCTGGAGTTCGAGGACAGCCTGGTCTACACATTTTTTTCAGCCCTCTCCCCCAATTGTTTTTTCCTGGCAGGCGCCCTCTTTATTCTAATCTTAACATGAAAACAAATCCACGGCCACACACAGGCTCAAACATCCCTTTAACTGCCGCAATTCTGAGCCCCATTTTCCTCCCACTCCGGCCCCCCCCAGCCCGCGCCTGCACCCAGCTCGCACCAACCCTCCAGCCTCTCAGCCACCAGTGCCGTTTACAAGCTCTTGCCCGCGCAAAATTGCACAGGTCGGACCCTCTTGTCCTCACTCCACACTCCTGACTCGATTCCTTCACTCCAATCCGTGTCCTCAGCCCTCCCGACCCTTTGGCTCCATTTCGCTAGTGCTGCACGGGCGAAGCAGCAAGCAGTGGTCGCCCAGACCAGAAATGATCGTAGCAAGAGTTCAGGTTTTTGTTTGTGTAGGGTTTTGGCAGAAATCCGTGGAACGGAATTATGAAATACTCAATGGCGGTGGCATTCCGACACGCCTGCTACCTACATCAGATCAAGATTCGCTCTTGGCAGCGGGCTGGAGGGATCGCTCAGCCGTTAAAGGCTAGGCTCACAACCACAAATGCCTGGCCTTTTCTTCACGACGGACTGTGACCGGGACGCGTGAGGCTGATAAACCATTTCTTCCACAAGCCTCTTTTGTCACCATCTTTATCACGATAGAAGGCAAACTAAGGCAGACAGCCATACAGTGCCTCCCAGCCCTGTAGAATGTTCTCCAATGAGATGAATCGCAGGATTCAGGATTTTAAAGAATAGCTATAAACAGAAGTCAGGAAGAGTCGGGGTTTGAGGAGGTCACACCTCTTGAATGCACGTAAGAGGACAGGAATACAGTCCCACCTGGAGTCCAAGAGAAGGCGAACAAATGTCTGAACGGAGTGATGAGCAGGGCGGCCTGGAAGAGGAATAAACACTGAAGGGAACTAAAAAAAAAAAAAAAAAAAAAAAAAAAGAGGAATAAATGCTGAAATGGAGATAAAATTGAAAAACTCAATATCCCATCTGTTAGGGACACTCGAGTACAGGACACCAGACACCTTCAGGCAAGCAGCCTTTGTATGTGTGAGGGTTCAAGCAGAGAACCAGACTAGAACGTAGCCAGGCAGAGACGTATTTGGTACCATAGTTTAATGGCTGCTTTAAACCCATAGGGTGGGCTTAAACGTTTCCTATGTCCGGAAGGGAGAACGGCTTGGGGAGTATTGCAAGGTCACACGCTGCCCTTTGGTGGAGTCTAAACACAATGGTGGTCTCTCTGTCCTTCTTTCAAGGCCTCCTGGAAGACTTACGAAGCAAAGAGGGGATTGCTGGAGGGATGTATCAAGGGTTCTGTACATGCAAGGGCATTCATTGCTCGGCCCTGTGGCTGCAATCCGGTTTTCATTGCCCTGGGTCTCAAGGGAGGCTACCTCACGTTGAGAAGACTCACTGGAAAGCCTACCTCACGTTGAGAAGGCCCAATGGAAAGCCTTCCTAGGAGGAGTAGGTCAGGCAGAAGATAGAATGTGAGGACCTGGAGACACAGCCGAGCAACTGGAAAACACTACCTTTAAAACAAAGACAGAAAAAACTATTGAAGCCCACATTTATGAGTTACCGGTTTAGAGGTGAAAGAAAATGAGTGGGGTGTCCAGAGACGGCCCAGAAGGCATTGCTGCTCTTGGGATATGCTGTCTGTGAACGGCACGCCAGCAGGCCACAGTCTCTTACCTGCGACCAGCTCTCAAATGACATCATGTGCTGAATAGTCCCAGGAATTGGCCCATTCGTTCCCTGAAAACCCTCAAGATCTGATAACGTCCACCGGACACCCCCTCACAGACACTCACGAGATGTGCCCCGTTAACTTCCCAGGCATCTCTTAATCTTAGCGCGTTGACAATCAAGGTTGAGCGTCCCAACAGCATAAAGATGCCCAAGGAATACATGACAAGCCGCGCAACATCCCTACTCATCGTGGGAATTAAAGTGAAGGAAAGACTGCTGGTTTCTAGCTCTGCATGACGGAGCGTGGAAGTTTCCAGTTCATGCTCACACAAACACCCGGGTGAACCAGCTAGAAACCAAACAGCTCTCCTAGGCCGTGCAAGGGAGGTGAGGACAGCAAAGAAACTTGGGAGTTCAGCGTTAAAGGCACCAGGTGGCCGGCGACCTTATCACACTTCCCCGACCCTCAGCAGCACACTAGAGGTCTCATTCTGCAGTCCCTGTACTTGGAGCAATTGTGTGTGATTACCAAGAAAAAGGCCCACGCAGGCGAGGACAAAGAGCGAGTTCAAAGGAATCCACGCCCGGAGGTGCGGAGGTGTCTCCGGGGTGACCAGCAGGGGGCGCGGGGCGGGAAGGGCTTTCGGGACCCCTGATGTTGGGGTTCCCTGGAACGAGGGGAGTGTGTGAGTCGGGCGGGCGGAGAGCGCGCTTGAGCCGGGATGGCAGCGGTTTGGGAGAAGGCGAACTGGGGGGGGGCCTTAGATACAGTTTCCACGCTACACTCCTCCCACAGTGTTGGGAGGGCGACGACGTCATCGTGAGTCATAGCGAAGTAGCATTTTGATGGCACGAGCTGCCGCCGGCTCTGGTGGCGCAGGCCGGAAGGATTTGCTGAAGGAGGCAGAGGCAGGTGGATCTGGAGTTCGAGGACAGCCTGGTCTACACATTTTTTTCAGCCCTCTCCCCCAATTGTTTTTTCCTGGCAGGCGCCCTCTTTATTCTAATCTTAACATGAAAACAAATCCACGGCCACACACAGGCTCAAACATCCCTTTAACTGCCGCAATTCTGAGCCCCATTTTCCTCCCACTCCGGCCCCCCCAGCCCGCGCCTGCACCCAGCTCGCACCAACCCTCCAGCCTCTCAGCCACCAGTGCCGTTTACAAGCTCTTGCCCGCGCAAAATTGCACAGGTCGGACCCTCTTGTCCTCACTCCACACTCCTGACTCGATTCCTTCACTCCAATCCGTGTCCTCAGCCCTCCCGACCCTTTGGCTCCATTTCGCTAGTGCTGCACGGGCGAAGCAGCAAGCAGTGGTCGCCCAGACCAGAAATGATCGTAGCAAGAGTTCAGGTTTTTGTTTGTGTAGGGTTTTGGCAGAAATCCGTGGAACGGAATTATGAAATACTCAATGGCGGTGGCATTCCGACACGCCTGCTACCTACATCAGATCAAGATTCGCTCTTGGCAGCGGGCTGGAGGGATCGCTCAGCCGTTAAAGGCTAGGCTCACAACCACAAATGCCTGGCCTTTTCTTCACGACGGACTGTGACCGGGACGCGTGAGGCTGATAAACCATTTCTTCCACAAGCCTCTTTTGTCACCATCTTTATCACGATAGAAGGCAAACTAAGGCAGACAGCCATACAGTGCCTCCCAGCCCTGTAGAATGTTCTCCAATGAGATGAATCGCAGGATTCAGGATTTTAAAGAATAGCTATAAACAGAAGTCAGGAAGAGTCGGGGTTTGAGGAGGTCACACCTCTTGAATGCACGTAAGAGGACAGGAATACAGTCCCACCTGGAGTCCAAGAGAAGGCGAACAAATGTCTGAACGGAGTGATGAGCAGGGCGGCCTGGAAGAGGAATAAACACTGAAGGGAACTAAAAAAAAAAAAAAAAAAAAAAAAAAAGAGGAATAAATGCTGAAATGGAGATAAAATTGAAAAACTCAATATCCCATCTGTTAGGGACACTCGAGTACAGGACACCAGACACCTTCAGGCAAGCAGCCTTTGTATGTGTGAGGGTTCAAGCAGAGAACCAGACTAGAACGTAGCCAGGCAGAGACGTATTTGGTACCATAGTTTAATGGCTGCTTTAAACCCATAGGGTGGGCTTAAACGTTTCCTATGTCCGGAAGGGAGAACGGCTTGGGGAGTATTGCAAGGTCACACGCTGCCCTTTGGTGGAGTCTAAACACAATGGTGGTCTCTCTGTCCTTCTTTCAAGGCCTCCTGGAAGACTTACGAAGCAAAGAGGGGATTGCTGGAGGGATGTATCAAGGGTTCTGTACATGCAAGGGCATTCATTGCTCGGCCCTGTGGCTGCAATCCGGTTTTCATTGCCCTGGGTCTCAAGGGAGGCTACCTCACGTTGAGAAGACTCACTGGAAAGCCTACCTCACGTTGAGAAGGCCCAATGGAAAGCCTTCCTAGGAGGAGTAGGTCAGGCAGAAGATAGAATGTGAGGACCTGGAGACACAGCCGAGCAACTGGAAAACACTACCTTTAAAACAAAGACAGAAAAAACTATTGAAGCCCACATTTATGAGTTACCGGTTTAGAGGTGAAAGAAAATGAGTGGGGTGTCCAGAGACGGCCCAGAAGGCATTGCTGCTCTTGGGATATGCTGTCTGTGAACGGCACGCCAGCAGGCCACAGTCTCTTACCTGCGACCAGCTCTCAAATGACATCATGTGCTGAATAGTCCCAGGAATTGGCCCATTCGTTCCCTGAAAACCCTCAAGATCTGATAACGTCCACCGGACACCCCCTCACAGACACTCACGAGATGTGCCCCGTTAACTTCCCAGGCATCTCTTAATCTTAGCGCGTTGACAATCAAGGTTGAGCGTCCCAACAGCATAAAGATGCCCAAGGAATACATGACAAGCCGCGCAACATCCCTACTCATCGTGGGAATTAAAGTGAAGGAAAGACTGCTGGTTTCTAGCTCTGCATGACGGAGCGTGGAAGTTTCCAGTTCATGCTCACACAAACACCCGGGTGAACCAGCTAGAAACCAAACAGCTCTCCTAGGCCGTGCAAGGGAGGTGAGGACAGCAAAGAAACTTGGGAGTTCAGCGTTAAAGGCACCAGGTGGCCGGCGACCTTATCACACTTCCCCGACCCTCAGCAGCACACTAGAGGTCTCATTCTGCAGTCCCTGTACTTGGAGCAATTGTGTGTGATTACCAAGAAAAAGGCCCACGCAGGCGAGGACAAAGAGCGAGTTCAAAGGAATCCACGCCCGGAGGTGCGGAGGTGTCTCCGGGGTGACCAGCAGGGGGCGCGGGGCGGGAAGGGCTTTCGGGACCCCTGATGTTGGGGTTCCCTGGAACGAGGGGAGTGTGTGAGTCGGGCGGGCGGAGAGCGCGCTTGAGCCGGGATGGCAGCGGTTTGGGAGAAGGCGAACTGGGGGGGCCTTAGATACAGTTTCCACGCTACACTCCTCCCACAGTGTTGGGAGGGCGACGACGTCATCGTGAGTCATAGCGAAGTAGCATTTTGATGGCACGAGCTGCCGCCGGCTCTGGTGGCGCAGGCCGGAAGGATTTGCTGAAGGAGGCAGAGGCAGGTGGATCTGGAGTTCGAGGACAGCCTGGTCTACACATTTTTTTCAGCCCTCTCCCCCAATTGTTTTTTCCTGGCAGGCGCCCTCTTTATTCTAATCTTAACATGAAAACAAATCCACGGCCACACACAGGCTCAAACATCCCTTTAACTGCCGCAATTCTGAGCCCCATTTTCCTCCCACTCCGGCCCCCCCAGCCCGCGCCTGCACCCAGCTCGCACCAACCCTCCAGCCTCTCAGCCACCAGTGCCGTTTACAAGCTCTTGCCCGCGCAAAATTGCACAGGTCGGACCCTCTTGTCCTCACTCCACACTCCTGACTCGATTCCTTCACTCCAATCCGTGTCCTCAGCCCTCCCGACCCTTTGGCTCCATTTCGCTAGTGCTGCACGGGCGAAGCAGCAAGCAGTGGTCGCCCAGACCAGAAATGATCGTAGCAAGAGTTCAGGTTTTTGTTTGTGTAGGGTTTTGGCAGAAATCCGTGGAACGGAATTATGAAATACTCAATGGCGGTGGCATTCCGACACGCCTGCTACCTACATCAGATCAAGATTCGCTCTTGGCAGCGGGCTGGAGGGATCGCTCAGCCGTTAAAGGCTAGGCTCACAACCACAAATGCCTGGCCTTTTCTTCACGACGGACTGTGACCGGGACGCGTGAGGCTGATAAACCATTTCTTCCACAAGCCTCTTTTGTCACCATCTTTATCACGATAGAAGGCAAACTAAGGCAGACAGCCATACAGTGCCTCCCAGCCCTGTAGAATGTTCTCCAATGAGATGAATCGCAGGATTCAGGATTTTAAAGAATAGCTATAAACAGAAGTCAGGAAGAGTCGGGGTTTGAGGAGGTCACACCTCTTGAATGCACGTAAGAGGACAGGAATACAGTCCCACCTGGAGTCCAAGAGAAGGCGAACAAATGTCTGAACGGAGTGATGAGCAGGGCGGCCTGGAAGAGGAATAAACACTGAAGGGAACTAAAAAAAAAAAAAAAAAAAAAAAAAAAAAGAGGAATAAATGCTGAAATGGAGATAAAATTGAAAAACTCAATATCCCATCTGTTAGGGACACTCGAGTACAGGACACCAGACACCTTCAGGCAAGCAGCCTTTGTATGTGTGAGGGTTCAAGCAGAGAACCAGACTAGAACGTAGCCAGGCAGAGACGTATTTGGTACCATAGTTTAATGGCTGCTTTAAACCCATAGGGTGGGCTTAAACGTTTCCTATGTCCGGAAGGGAGAACGGCTTGGGGAGTATTGCAAGGTCACACGCTGCCCTTTGGTGGAGTCTAAACACAATGGTGGTCTCTCTGTCCTTCTTTCAAGGCCTCCTGGAAGACTTACGAAGCAAAGAGGGGATTGCTGGAGGGATGTATCAAGGGTTCTGTACATGCAAGGGCATTCATTGCTCGGCCCTGTGGCTGCAATCCGGTTTTCATTGCCCTGGGTCTCAAGGGAGGCTACCTCACGTTGAGAAGACTCACTGGAAAGCCTACCTCACGTTGAGAAGGCCCAATGGAAAGCCTTCCTAGGAGGAGTAGGTCAGGCAGAAGATAGAATGTGAGGACCTGGAGACACAGCCGAGCAACTGGAAAACACTACCTTTAAAACAAAGACAGAAAAAACTATTGAAGCCCACATTTATGAGTTACCGGTTTAGAGGTGAAAGAAAATGAGTGGGGTGTCCAGAGACGGCCCAGAAGGCATTGCTGCTCTTGGGATATGCTGTCTGTGAACGGCACGCCAGCAGGCCACAGTCTCTTACCTGCGACCAGCTCTCAAATGACATCATGTGCTGAATAGTCCCAGGAATTGGCCCATTCGTTCCCTGAAAACCCTCAAGATCTGATAACGTCCACCGGACACCTCCTCACAGACACTCACGAGATGTGCCCCGTTAACTTCCCAGGCATCTCTTAATCTTAGCGCGTTGACAATCAAGGTTGAGCGTCCCAACAGCATAAAGATGCCCAAGGAATACATGACAAGCCGCACAACATCCCTACTCATCGTGGGAATTAAAGTGAAGGAAAGACTGCTGGTTTCTAGCTCTGCATGACGGAGCGTGGAAGTTTCCAGTTCATGCTCACACAAACACCCGGGTGAACCAGCTAGAAACCAAACAGCTCTCCTAGGCCGTGCAAGGGAGGTGAGGACAGCAAAGAAACTTGGGAGTTCAGCGTTAAAGGCACCAGGTGGCCGGCGACCTTATCACACTTCCCCGACCCTCAGCAGCACACTAGAGGTCTCATTCTGCAGTCCCTGTACTTGGAGCAATTGTGTGTGATTACCAAGAAAAAGGCCCACGCAGGCGAGGACAAAGAGCGAGTTCAAAGGAATCCACGCCCGGAGGTGCGGAGGTGTCTCCGGGGTGACCAGCAGGGGGCGCGGGGCGGGAAGGGCTTTCGGGACCCCTGATGTTGGGGTTCCCTGGAACGAGGGGAGTGTGTGAGTCGGGCGGGCGGAGAGCGCGCTTGAGCCGGGATGGCAGCGGTTTGGGAGAAGGCGAACTGGGGGGGGGCCTTAGATACAGTTTCCACGCTACACTCCTCCCACAGTGTTGGGAGGGCGACGACGTCATCGTGAGTCATAGCGAAGTAGCATTTTGATGGCACGAGCTGCCGCCGGCTCTGGTGGCGCAGGCCGGAAGGATTTGCTGAAGGAGGCAGAGGCAGGTGGATCTGGAGTTCGAGGACAGCCTGGTCTACACATTTTTTTCAGCCCTCTCCCCCAATTGTTTTTCCTGGCAGGCGCCCTCTTTATTCTAATCTTAACATGAAAACAAATCCACGGCCACACACAGGCTCAAACATCCCTTTAACTGCCGCAATTCTGAGCCCCATTTTCCTCCCACTCCGGCCCCCCCAGCCCGCGCCTGCACCCAGCTCGCACCAACCCTCCAGCCTCTCAGCCACCAGTGCCGTTTACAAGCTCTTGCCCGCGCAAAATTGCACAGGTCGGACCCTCTTGTCCTCACTCCACACTCCTGACTCGATTCCTTCACTCCAATCCGTGTCCTCAGCCCTCCCGACCCTTTGGCTCCATTTCGCTAGTGCTGCACGGGCGAAGCAGCAAGCAGTGGTCGCCCAGACCAGAAATGATCGTAGCAAGAGTTCAGGTTTTTGTTTGTGTAGGGTTTTGGCAGAAATCCGTGGAACGGAATTATGAAATACTCAATGGCGGTGGCATTCCGACACGCCTGCTACCTACATCAGATCAAGATTCGCTCTTGGCAGCGGGCTGGAGGGATCGCTCAGCCGTTAAAGGCTAGGCTCACAACCACAAATGCCTGGCCTTTTCTTCACGACGGACTGTGACCGGGACGCGTGAGGCTGATAAACCATTTCTTCCACAAGCCTCTTTTGTCACCATCTTTATCACGATAGAAGGCAAACTAAGGCAGACAGCCATACAGTGCCTCCCAGCCCTGTAGAATGTTCTCCAATGAGATGAATCGCAGGATTCAGGATTTTAAAGAATAGCTATAAACAGAAGTCAGGAAGAGTCGGGGTTTGAGGAGGTCACACCTCTTGAATGCACGTAAGAGGACAGGAATACAGTCCCACCTGGAGTCCAAGAGAAGGCGAACAAATGTCTGAACGGAGTGATGAGCAGGGCGGCCTGGAAGAGGAATAAACACTGAAGGGAACTAAAAAAAAAAAAAAAAAAAAAAAAAAAAAAGAGGAATAAATGCTGAAATGGAGATAAAATTGAAAAACTCAATATCCCATCTGTTAGGGACACTCGAGTACAGGACACCAGACACCTTCAGGCAAGCAGCCTTTGTATGTGTGAGGGTTCAAGCAGAGAACCAGACTAGAACGTAGCCAGGCAGAGACGTATTTGGTACCATAGTTTAATGGCTGCTTTAAACCCATAGGGTGGGCTTAAACGTTTCCTATGTCCGGAAGGGAGAACGGCTTGGGGAGTATTGCAAGGTCACACGCTGCCCTTTGGTGGAGTCTAAACACAATGGTGGTCTCTCTGTCCTTCTTTCAAGGCCTCCTGGAAGACTTACGAAGCAAAGAGGGGATTGCTGGAGGGATGTATCAAGGGTTCTGTACATGCAAGGGCATTCATTGCTCGGCCCTGTGGCTGCAATCCGGTTTTCATTGCCCTGGGTCTCAAGGGAGGCTACCTCACGTTGAGAAGACTCACTGGAAAGCCTACCTCACGTTGAGAAGGCCCAATGGAAAGCCTTCCTAGGAGGAGTAGGTCAGGCAGAAGATAGAATGTGAGGACCTGGAGACACAGCCGAGCAACTGGAAAACACTACCTTTAAAACAAAGACAGAAAAAACTATTGAAGCCCACATTTATGAGTTACCGGTTTAGAGGTGAAAGAAAATGAGTGGGGTGTCCAGAGACGGCCCAGAAGGCATTGCTGCTCTTGGGATATGCTGTCTGTGAACGGCACGCCAGCAGGCCACAGTCTCTTACCTGCGACCAGCTCTCAAATGACATCATGTGCTGAATAGTCCCAGGAATTGGCCCATTCGTTCCCTGAAAACCCTCAAGATCTGATAACGTCCACCGGACACCCCCTCACAGACACTCACGAGATGTGCCCCGTTAACTTCCCAGGCATCTCTTAATCTTAGCGCGTTGACAATCAAGGTTGAGCGTCCCAACAGCATAAAGATGCCCAAGGAATACATGACAAGCCGCGCAACATCCCTACTCATCGTGGGAATTAAAGTGAAGGAAAGACTGCTGGTTTCTAGCTCTGCATGACGGAGCGTGGAAGTTTCCAGTTCATGCTCACACAAACACCCGGGTGAACCAGCTAGAAACCAAACAGCTCTCCTAGGCCGTGCAAGGGAGGTGAGGACAGCAAAGAAACTTGGGAGTTCAGCGTTAAAGGCACCAGGTGGCCGGCGACCTTATCACACTTCCCCGACCCTCAGCAGCACACTAGAGGTCTCATTCTGCAGTCCCTGTACTTGGAGCAATTGTGTGTGATTACCAAGAAAAAGGCCCACGCAGGCGAGGACAAAGAGCGAGTTCAAAGGAATCCACGCCCGGAGGTGCGGAGGTGTCTCCGGGGTGACCAGCAGGGGGCGCGGGGCGGGAAGGGCTTTCGGGACCCCTGATGTTGGGGTTCCCTGGAACGAGGGGAGTGTGTGAGTCGGGCGGGCGGAGAGCGCGCTTGAGCCGGGATGGCAGCGGTTTGGGAGAAGGCGAACTGGGGGGGGGCCTTAGATACAGTTTCCACGCTACACTCCTCCCACAGTGTTGGGAGGGCGACGACGTCATCGTGAGTCATAGCGAAGTAGCATTTTGATGGCACGAGCTGCCGCCGGCTCTGGTGGCGCAGGCCGGAAGGATTTGCTGAAGGAGGCAGAGGCAGGTGGATCTGGAGTTCGAGGACAGCCTGGTCTACACATTTTTTTCAGCCCTCTCCCCCAATTGTTTTTTCCTGGCAGGCGCCCTCTTTATTCTAATCTTAACATGAAAACAAATCCACGGCCACACACAGGCTCAAACATCCCTTTAACTGCCGCAATTCTGAGCCCCATTTTCCTCCCACTCCGGCCCCCCCAGCCCGCGCCTGCACCCAGCTCGCACCAACCCTCCAGCCTCTCAGCCACCAGTGCCGTTTACAAGCTCTTGCCCGCGCAAAATTGCACAGGTCGGACCCTCTTGTCCTCACTCCACACTCCTGACTCGATTCCTTCACTCCAATCCGTGTCCTCAGCCCTCCCGACCCTTTGGCTCCATTTCGCTAGTGCTGCACGGGCGAAGCAGCAAGCAGTGGTCGCCCAGACCAGAAATGATCGTAGCAAGAGTTCAGGTTTTTGTTTGTGTAGGGTTTTGGCAGAAATCCGTGGAACGGAATTATGAAATACTCAATGGCGGTGGCATTCCGACACGCCTGCTACCTACATCAGATCAAGATTCGCTCTTGGCAGCGGGCTGGAGGGATCGCTCAGCCGTTAAAGGCTAGGCTCACAACCACAAATGCCTGGCCTTTTCTTCACGACGGACTGTGACCTGGACGCGTGAGGCTGATAAACCATTTCTTCCACAAGCCTCTTTTGTCACCATCTTTATCACGATAGAAGGCAAACTAAGGCAGACAGCCATACAGTGCCTCCCAGCCCTGTAGAATGTTCTCCAATGAGATGAATCGCAGGATTCAGGATTTTAAAGAATAGCTATAAACAGAAGTCAGGAAGAGTCGGGGTTTGAGGAGGTCACACCTCTTGAATGCACGTAAGAGGACAGGAATACAGTCCCACCTGGAGTCCAAGAGAAGGCGAACAAATGTCTGAACGGAGTGATGAGCAGGGCGGCCTGGAAGAGGAATAAACACTGAAGGGAACTAAAAAAAAAAAAAAAAAAAAAAAAAAAAAAGAGGAATAAATGCTGAAATGGAGATAAAATTGAAAAACTCAATATCCCATCTGTTAGGGACACTCGAGTACAGGACACCAGACACCTTCAGGCAAGCAGCCTTTGTATGTGTGAGGGTTCAAGCAGAGAACCAGACTAGAACGTAGCCAGGCAGAGACGTATTTGGTACCATAGTTTAATGGCTGCTTTAAACCCATAGGGTGGGCTTAAACGTTTCCTATGTCCGGAAGGGAGAACGGCTTGGGGAGTATTGCAAGGTCACACGCTGCCCTTTGGTGGAGTCTAAACACAATGGTGGTCTCTCTGTCCTTCTTTCAAGGCCTCCTGGAAGACTTACGAAGCAAAGAGGGGATTGCTGGAGGGATGTATCAAGGGTTCTGTACATGCAAGGGCATTCATTGCTCGGCCCTGTGGCTGCAATCCGGTTTTCATTGCCCTGGGTCTCAAGGGAGGCTACCTCACGTTGAGAAGACTCACTGGAAAGCCTACCTCACGTTGAGAAGGCCCAATGGAAAGCCTTCCTAGGAGGAGTAGGTCAGGCAGAAGATAGAATGTGAGGACCTGGAGACACAGCCGAGCAACTGGAAAACACTACCTTTAAAACAAAGACAGAAAAAACTATTGAAGCCCACATTTATGAGTTACCGGTTTAGAGGTGAAAGAAAATGAGTGGGGTGTCCAGAGACGGCCCAGAAGGCATTGCTGCTCTTGGGATATGCTGTCTGTGAACGGCACGCCAGCAGGCCACAGTCTCTTACCTGCGACCAGCTCTCAAATGACATCATGTGCTGAATAGTCCCAGGAATTGGCCCATTCGTTCCCTGAAAACCCTCAAGATCTGATAACGTCCACCGGACACCTCCTCACGACACTCACGAGATGTGCCCCACTAACTTCCCAGGTATTTCTCAATCTTAGCACGTTGACAATCAAGGTTGAGCGTCCCAACAGCATAAAGATGCCCAAGGAATACGTGACAGGCCGCACAACATCGCTGCTCTTCATGGGGATTAAAGTGAAAGCACAGTGAGGAAAGCTGCTGGTTTCTAGCTCTGCATGAAGGAGCGTGGAAGTTTCCAGTTCATGCTCACACAAACACCCGGGTGAACCAGCTAGAAACCAAACAGCTCTCCTAGGCCGTGCAAGGGAGGTGAGGACAGCAAAGAAACTTGGGAGTTCAGCGTTAAAGGCACCAGGAGGCCGGCGACCTTATCACACTTCCCCCGACCCTCAGCAGCACACTAGAGGTCTCATTCTGCAGTCCCTGTACTTGGAGCAATTGTGTGTGATTACCAAGAAAAAGGCCCACGCAGGCGAGGACAAAGAGCGAGTTCAAAGGAATCCACGCCCGGAGGTGCGGGGGTGTCTCCGGGGTGACCAGCAGGGGGCGCGGGGCGGGAAGGGCTTTCGGGACCCCTGATGTTGGGGTTCCCTGGAACGAGGGCAGTGTGTGAGTCGGGCGGGCGGAGAGCGCGCTTGAGCCGGGATGGCAGCGGTTTGGGAGAAGGCGAACTGGGGGGGCCTTAGATACAGTTTCCACGCTACACTCCTCCCACAGTGTTGGGAGGGCGACGACGTCATCGTGAGTCATAGCGAAGTAGCATTTTGATGGCACGAGCTACCGCCGGCTCTGGTGGCGCAGGCCGGAAGGATTTGCTGAAGGAGGCAGAGGCAGGTGGATCTGGAGTTCGAGGACAGCCTGGTCTACACATTTTTTTCAGCCCTCTCCCCCAATTGTTTTTTCCTGGCAGGCGCCCTCTTTATTCTAATCTTAACATGAAAACAAATCCACGGCCACACACAGGCTCAAACATCCCTTTAACTGCCGCAATTCTGAGCCCCATTTTCCTCCCACTCCGGCCCCCCCAGCCCGCGCCTGCACCCAGCTCGCACCAACCCTCCAGCCTCTCAGCCACCAGTGCCGTTTACAAGCTCTTGCCCGCGCAAAATTGCACAGGTCGGACCCTCTTGTCCTCACTCCACACTCCTGACTCGATTCCTTCACTCCAATCCGTGTCCTCAGCCCTCCCGACCCTTTGGCTCCATTTCGCTAGTGCTGCACGGGCGAAGCAGCAAGCAGTGGTCGCCCAGACCAGAAATGATCGTAGCAAGAGTTCAGGTTTTTGTTTGTGTAGGGTTTTGGCAGAAATCCGTGGAACGGAATTATGAAATACTCAATGGCGGTGGCATTCCGACACGCCTGCTACCTACATCAGATCAAGATTCGCTCTTGGCAGCGGGCTGGAGGGATCGCTCAGCCGTTAAAGGCTAGGCTCACAACCACAAATGCCTGGCCTTTTCTTCACGACGGACTGTGACCTGGACGCGTGAGGCTGATAAACCATTTCTTCCACAAGCCTCTTTTGTCACCATCTTTATCACGATAGAAGGCAAACTAAGGCAGACAGCCATACAGTGCCTCCCAGCCCTGTAGAATGTTCTCCAATGAGATGAATCGCAGGATTCAGGATTTTAAAGAATAGCTATAAACAGAAGTCAGGAAGAGTCGGGGTTTGAGGAGGTCACACCTCTTGAATGCACGTAAGAGGACAGGAATACAGTCCCACCTGGAGTCCAAGAGAAGGCGAACAAATGTCTGAACGGAGTGATGAGCAGGGCGGCCTGGAAGAGGAATAAACACTGAAGGGAAATAAAAAAAAAAAAAAAAAAAAAAAAAAAAAAAGAGGAATAAATGCTGAAATGGAGATAAAATTGAAAAACTCAATATCCCATCTGTTAGGGACACTCGAGTACAGGACACCAGACACCTTCAGGCAAGCAGCCTTTGTATGTGTGAGGGTTCAAGCAGAGAACCAGACTAGAACGTAGCCAGGCAGAGACGTATTTGGTACCATAGTTTAATGGCTGCTTTAAACCCATAGGGTGGGCTTAAACGTTTCCTATGTCCGGAAGGGAGAACGGCTTGGGGAGTATTGCAAGGTCACACGCTGCCCTTTGGTGGAGTCTAAACACAATGGTGGTCTCTCTGTCCTTCTTTCAAGGCCTCCTGGAAGACTTACGAAGCAAAGAGGGGATTGCTGGAGGGATGTATCAAGGGTTCTGTACATGCAAGGGCATTCATTGCTCGGCCCTGTGGCTGCAATCCGGTTTTCATTGCCCTGGGTCTCAAGGGAGGCTACCTCACGTTGAGAAGACTCACTGGAAAGCCTACCTCACGTTGAGAAGGCCCAATGGAAAGCCTTCCTAGGAGGAGTAGGTCAGGCAGAAGATAGAATGTGAGGACCTGGAGACACAGCCGAGCAACTGGAAAACACTACCTTTAAAACAAAGACAGAAAAAACTATTGAAGCCCACATTTATGAGTTACCGGTTTAGAGGTGAAAGAAAATGAGTGGGGTGTCCAGAGACGGCCCAGAAGGCATTGCTGCTCTTGGGATATGCTGTCTGTGAACGGCACGCCAGCAGGCCACAGTCTCTTACCTGCGACCAGCTCTCAAATGACATCATGTGCTGAATAGTCCCAGGAATTGGCCCATTCGTTCCCTGAAAACCCTCAAGATCTGATAACGTCCACCGGACACCTCCTCACACTCACGAGATGTGCCCCACTAACTTCCCAGGTATTTCTCAATCTTAGCACGTTGACAATCAAGGTTGAGCGTCCCAACAGCATAAAGATGCCCAAGGAATACGTGACAGGCCGCACAACATCGCTGCTCTTCATGGGGATTAAAGTGAAAACACAGTGAGGAAAGCTCCTGGTTTCTAGCTCTGCATGAAGGAGCGTGGAAGTTTCCAGTTCATGCTCACACAAACACCCGGGTGAACCAGCTAGAAACCAAACAGCTCTCCTAGGCCGTGCAAGGGAGGTGAGGACAGCAAAGAAACTTGGGAGTTCAGCGTTAAAGGCACCAGGAGGCCGGCGACCTTATCACACTTCCCCCGACCCTCAGCAGCACACTAGAGGTCTCATTCTGCAGTCCCTGTACTTGGAGCAATTGTGTGTGATTACCAAGAAAAAGGCCCACGCAGGCGAGGACAAAGAGCGAGTTCAAAGGAATCCACGCCCGGAGGTGCGGGGGTGTCTCCGGGGTGACCAGCAGGGGGGCGCGGGGCGGGAAGGGCTTTCGGGACCCCTGATGTTGGGGTTCCCTGGAACGAGGGCAGTGTGTGAGTCGGGCGGGCGGAGAGCGCGCTTGAGCCGGGATGGCAGCGGTTTGGGAGAAGGCGAACTGGGGGGGGCCTTAGATACAGTTTCCACGCTACACTCCTCCCACAGTGTTGGGAGGGCGACGACGTCATCGTGAGTCATAGCGAAGTAGCATTTTGATGGCACGAGCTACCGCCGGCTCTGGTGGCGCAGGCCGGAAGGATTTGCTGAAGGAGGCAGAGGCAGGTGGATCTGGAGTTCGAGGACAGCCTGGTCTACACATTTTTTTCAGCCCTCTCCCCCAATTGTTTTTCCTGGCAGGCGCCCTCTTTATTCTAATCTTAACATGAAAACAAATCCACGGCCACACACAGTCTCAAACATCCCTTTAACTGCCGCAATTCTGAGCCCCATTTTCCTCCCACTCCGGCCCCCCCAGCCCGCGCCTGCACCCAGCTCGCACCAACCCTCCAGCCTCTCAGCCACCAGTGCCGTTTACAAGCTCTTGCCCGCGCAAAATTGCACAGGTCGGACCCTCTTGTCCTCACTCCACACTCCTGACTCGATTCCTTCACTCCAATCCGTGTCCTCAGCCCTCCCGACCCTTTGGCTCCATTTCGCTAGTGCTGCACGGGCGAAGCAGCAAGCAGTGGTCGCCCAGACCAGAAATGATCGTAGCAAGAGTTCAGGTTTTTGTTTGTGTAGGGTTTTGGCAGAAATCCGTGGAACGGAATTATGAAATACTCAATGGCGGTGGCATTCCGACACGCCTGCTACCTACATCAGATCAAGATTCGCTCTTGGCAGCGGGCTGGAGGGATAGCTCAGCCGTTAAAGGCTAGGCTCACAACCAAAAATATAAGAGTTCGGTTCCCAGCACCCACGGCTGTCCCTCCGGCCACCTTTTTTGTCTTACGCGCCACACAAAATTAGCAATAAATATTGAAAAAAGAAAGAGAAGAAAAGCTAAAGAAAGAAAGAAATTTCATCTCACTGCGTGGAATTTTTTTTTCTTACAGACAACTTCTTTTTAACACAGTTGCCTTTAAGCAATTTGATCACTTCAATTAATTGGTTTTACTAAAGCCACCTTCAAACCAGCTCCACGCGCAGTGCTCAGGGACTCACAAAGACACAGAGAGCCACACTGTGTCCCCGCTGCTCCACACCCTCTCTCTTCTGCCTGGTGTTCTTGACCTCAACCCCAGGGCTCGCAGCGCGGGGCTCGCAGCGGACAAGCAGCGTTCGCATGCTCCTTCCCTCCCCTGTCCCCCTCTCTTCCTCTTTATTCTCTCCCTCCTCTTTTCGTCGTCCTCCTCCCCTTTTAAAAATATTTGTTGACGTCTCACACCCACACCCACCCCTGCCTTAAGCCACTAGGAACAACATTCCGAATACCTTTCATCTTATCCTACGCTCTTGTGCTGCTCTGTCTCTAGCTACTCAATAGGAACCTCAGGGATCTCTCCCTAGACAGCTGTAGCAAGCCAGGTACATGTTCTGGATAAGAGAACAGCCCTTCTTGTTGATAGCAGCCAGTGTGCTTGCCTGCCCACTGGCAGAGGTCCTCCCAAGCGTTAAGACTGACTTGGGCCACAGCTCTGTTTCCCTAAGGTCTGAAATAAAGCCCATGGCCAGCAGGACACCAGCATCCTTGGTGCTTCTGTCGCTAGAGGATGGTCTCTGGGCTGGCCGTGGTTGAACTGTGTAGTGGCATGTGGTTAGAATCCTGTGATCCAAGTGGGTGAATGAAACTGCTGTGTAAATGCTGTCATCTAGTAAAATATGTGGCATGACCCCTGCAGGCTCTTTCCTGCAATCTGAGCACCTTACCTGGGCTAGGCTATCCGGAGTAAAATCTTGTTTCCTGAGAATGGTCTGTTTTAGCAAGGGCAGTCCGGCAACTGACCCCAGCAACCTAGCTCCTTGGCTTTTTCATGACCACGCAAAGGGCCCCTTCAGGTAACTCCAGAGAGGGAGCCGGGTAGGAAAAGCTCCAGGTAGTCACCAAAGGGCAGAAAGACGGAGCTGTATTCTCAGAACAGCCAAGTAAAGGGACCGGGAGGGACAGGATTGGTGAAGGCTGGTGTGAAACTCTTTGTCCTAGTTAGGGTTTCACTGCTGTGACAAAACCAAAACTTGAGATGTAGCTCTCACCTTCCGGTTGAGAGTTCACCGGGGAAGGAAGCTGAGCAAGACCTGAAGCAGAAACCACAGAGAAACTGTCCTGCTCTTCATGACTTGTCAGAATGCTTTCGTGTAGACCCCAGGACCACCCACCCACGGAGGGACTAGCCCTTCCACACCCACCACTGGTCAAGAAAATGCCCTCACAGACTTGCCCACAGGCCAGTCTAATGGATGCAATTTCTCAGCTGAGGTTCTCTCTTCCTGCTTGGGTCAAGTTGACAAACCTAGGCAGCACAAATGGATGTCAGGGTACAGCTTTGTGGAGTTCTTTGTTTTACCCTTATGAGTTCTGGAGATTGAACTCAGATTGCCAGGCTTCCACAGCAAGCCCCTTTATCTGCATTTTACATTGGGTGGGCCTTTGTATATTGTATACAAATACTGTATATTGATACAAATTTGAAATTAATTGGTTAAAATATACTTTACTTATATTTCTAATGTTGTTCAAGGTATAGTACCTATACAGATCATTTAACAATGTAATGCAATTTCTAGTCCTTGAACTATATAAGATAATAAGGAAATGCAAGTTAATTATTAGTCATCTATTATAATCAAACTTATAGTCATATTAGGTAATGCCTTCAAGGTCAAACCGAGATATATTTTAGATAGGCAGGTTGTCTTTAAGCTTTGAGCTTCAGAATATGGCATTTAAAATGTTTTAATAACGTAGATTCTTCATTTATGACAATGAGACATGTCAGCTCCTGGCAGCATCAATCTATTTCAGATGATGGACGTTGAAGAAACTCCACATGGAGTTAACTTTCTTTGTGGCAAAAGTAGCCACTGGGCAAGAAAGTGCCCTTGCCTCGACTGCTAACAATATGTTGTCCAAATTGGACGAGGAGGACACAAAAGACAGTGACTGTAAACCTTGTCAAGACAAGGCGGGACAGTCCTGCAGAAAATCTGTCAGAGATGCTAGGCCTGTTGGCCAAAGATGGATGCCCCAGTGTTGCTGAAGAATCTTAGGTGTCCAGGCAGCCAGCTGTTTTTGTCATTTCTCACATTTTTTTGGAAGTTGCTTGCTCGAACTTCCTGCTTATTCAGTTAATATTGTTTCCTTCTCATGTCTCTGAGGGAGTTGAAGACTAGATAGTATGGTTATAGTTTTCATTGTTACCAGATTCAGAAAAAAAATTCACTAAAGATATGTAAAGTGTAAAAGGTTTGAAAGACATTAAAAGATAATTTGATAATGCAAATTAAAATAGAAAGTAAATTAGGTACAAGACTATGGGCTCACCAGGATAGACTAGATAATGGAGTTTTTTCTCTGAATATGTCAAATTAAAAAGGACTAGACTTTGCTGATACCTATTGCCTGTATATATTGTATAGACTTATTGTACTTACTATATATAGTTTTTCTCTGTTAGTTATAGCCTTGTTTTTGTGTTAGACAAAAAAAAGGAATTGTGGTGATATATTATTTATGATTTATTAAAGCTTGCCTGGGGATTCAGAAAGCAAAGTCAGATACAAGCTACAGAGGTCAGGCACTGGTGGCTCACACCTTTAATCCCAGGACTCAGAAGGTATGCAGGTGATCTCTGTGAGTTCAAGGCCACCCTGGCCTACACACGAGGAGCTCACACCTTTGATCCCAGCACTTGGGATCACACACCTTTAATTCCAGCATCCCAGCACTAGGGAGGTTGATTCTCTAGTAACGATGAGGAGAGGCATCAGTCTGAAGCTTGGTGGAGAGCTCATGGAGACAGGATCAGCCCTTTCAGCCTGAGACAGAGTAAGAGCTAGTGGCCTGGATGTTTGCTTTTCTGATCTTTTTGGCTTGAACCCTAATATCAGTGTAGGGGTCTTTATTTATTTTTCGTTCTACAAATACAAGAACAGATTCAAACAGAAGTTCCAGAGCAATTTTATTGGAGTATAAATGAGAAATCTCAAAGCATGTGGGTTCTCAGTTTCAGCAAGGAGGAGGCAGAGAGAGAAAAGGAAAGGCCATGCCTTTTGGGTTAAGCTGGCAGGGGTGTCAGCCACATGGTGGGCAACCAGCCATTCGGGAAGAGGCCTTTAAAGAAAAAGTGAGGAAGCCTGTGGTAGATTGGATGAGAGATGCCTCCCATCTGCTGGCATGTCTGAACACTTGGCTCCCAGTGGGCAGTGCTGTTTGGGAGATTAAGCAGCCTTTAGGAGGCCAGGCCTGGCTAGTAACAACGGGTGAAATCTTTTAAAACATATTAAAGGTCAGTAAGTCTTAGCAACTCAGGAGCTAAGAATGGCATCAGACAGCATTAGGAAATTATGGAAGAGATTTCCCCAGCTTTCTGCAACCTGTCTATCTGGTATTTCCACCAAAGTATTTAAAAATGTCTCAGTTTATAACTGTATTGTTTTGTACAACTAACTATAAAACCTTCCTGAAATTTCTTTGTTGGATCATGTGCTTGCTAGTTTTATGTCAACATGACAGAAACTATTCTGAGTGCAGGGAACCTCAATTAAGAAAATGCCTTCATAAGATCAGGCTGTAGGCAAGCCTGTCGGGTATTTTCTTAATTAATGATTAATGAGGAAGGTCCAGTCCAGGGTGGGTGTTGCCACTCCTGGGCTGGTAGTACTGGGTTCAATAAAAAGCAGGCTAAGCAAGTCATAGGGAGCAAGCCAGTAAGCAGCACCCTCCATGGCCTCTGCATCAGCTCCCGCCTCCAGGTTCCTGTCCTGCTTGACTTCCTGCCCTGACTTCCTTCAGCAATGAACAGTGGTGG